TTCATTTAATTCACGTGTTTCTTCCAGCCACTTCATCAATAACTTCAATCACAGACAAATGTAAATTTGTAATCAAATATCAAATGTGTAACATCATGTTTCGAAATCAAAAAAAAAAATATAAATAAAGGAACCCAAATTGAAATTTACCAAATCAATCTTAATAAATTTTTGATTTAATTAATAACCAAAAACAAAGTGTCAGCACTACTGACATAGAGTTTAAAAAGAAGAAATATAAACTAATGTAAGGCAAAGATAATGAATGAATGAATTCATTGATTGATAAATTAATACCCCCAAAAAAGCATGTTCGAAGCAGATGACGAGTAAATAGTTGTTGACTGACTTTTAATTGAATGTTTTTAACAGAATCATTTTGTGTCACATTATCCCCAAGTTTATTTTAAACAAATATTATAAAGAAAAGAACGAAATTAACGATTTCCTGTGCCTTCATTGAAAAATAATGATTCATAAATGCTCAGAACGTGGACACGCATGATAAATGTAGCTGCTTGAAAAGAACAAGTAAGTTTTGGATCTTTAAAAATGAAATTGAAAAGTTTTCATATTTTTAATTTTCATGGATCTATTTCAAGTTTATTCAACAAAATTGCATCGAGTAGCCTTTAAAAAATGTGAAGATGAATTTGGGTAAGAAGGAAAAAGATATAATTGAACTATTGGTATGAAACTACTGCTACAAATTATTGTTAAGCAGTTGCTTAACCTTTAAACGATTAAATGAACAAAAGCTTTGAGTGAATAAGGAAAGAAAGAAAAAAAGAGGTTGCTTAAACTTGAGCTTTGCAAAGTGTTGTTATGACCAAATTTGTAATATTTTAAGGTCATCAGTACAAACCTAGTTGACTTGAACGCATACATATGCGCCACTTTATAACTTTTATGTTTTAATACATTTACAACTAAAATTTAAAAAACTTGATAAAAATTTATATTTACGCTTTCCTCAACACCTATCAAGTGTTCTACAAGAACGAATGGCAAGGCTTATGGTAGACATCTCATTAGCATTAATTTAGTGAAATATAAAATCATTTCAAAAAAATATAAAAGAAGGCTTCCATTTATTTTAATTAAGAGAGGCTAGTTCTCTTTAATGGATGATTCGACGAAAGTTGTAATTCAGATTTATAAACTCAAAAAATAGAGAGATCAAAAGTTGACTAATTTATGTAAATTCCGAACTAAATTGATTTGATTGCTTTCTATCCAGATTATCTATTCTTCGTAATCATTGATTTGTGTCTAATAATTAAATTAAGGTATTTTTTGCTGATATAATCAGTTTTAAGCTGTTAAAATAAATCTTTCCTGAGCAGCACATTCACTTAAATAGGTGACGTCTTTTTTGTCGACTGTCGACTCAGAATCAAAGGGGTTTAGAAGGGGTCTAGAGGTAAACACTATCTACCATAAAACATATCCATTAATAAAGTCACTAATGAAAAACGCTATAGTCTTTGTTCATACATTAGCATGTACTTATATTTGTACACTTGATCAAAATTCACTTTATATCTGTATCCACATTTCCTGAAACTGCAAAACAAAAAAAAAAAACTGTGAAGGAGGAAAGTGATATATTTTTTATATGAAATAAAATCGAAATTTCCGATCATTTCAGTGATGCAGTCGTAATAAATAAAGTTATTATTCGACTCACTTGGTGTAAAAGTAAGTCCAACAACATTTGATATCAATTTCATCAATTCATAACTAGCAAAAAAAAGTTATTTGCCGTTGTTGAACCCCATGTGATGCGAAACTTTCTTCTTTCCTTTTTAACATACGCCCTTACACTCCAAATTTATAACGGTTAATAAAATGTGAATCCGAAAAATGTTTCATTTTTTGACAATCAACCTAATATACATATCGAATGATTTTTTTTTGTTTAACTCTCAGAACGTCAATAAAACGTTGCGAATGTAATTTCATCCTATAAACATAACTTGTATATATGCTTACACACATTACAAGTTGAATGAACTTTTGTTTTTTGCAATCATAAGAATTGTACATCAATTGAGAATCATTTAGATGTTGCGTCTTTATCCTCTACGTCCTCCTCTGTCAAAGATTCAGCTCCCCCCTCAGTGATATGCATCATAAGTGAACGACCCCAAAAGAAGCATAACAATAATATGATTTAAATAATCGGAAATCCGTCATTCGTGATTAGAATAAATTGATACTAAATTTCGAAACACTTTTTTTTTATGTGTCTTAACGGTTTTTGTCTATCAAACTTTGATATGAAGTGTTAATATTCAGGCAGAGTATACAACTCTTAAAGATACAAATGGAAGAAACCAAATCCATAATATTACCTAATTAAAATAATTATTTTGATTTGATGAAATGGAAATAATGCTTATGGACATAAGGCAGTCTTAGCAAATGCAAATATATTTCATATCGAAGTGCCGTTTGATGACATGAGTGACTAATTGTAATTTGAAATATGAGGAAAATATGCCTTCGAGACAAAAATAATATTAAAGTATATACTTTATTACGAGGTGAAACAGCATTATCTTTTGGGAGATTTATGTACATTCATCGAAAAGGTCAATAAAGTACGAAAAATAAAATTTTTATATGAGAAAAACTATCAATAAAGCTAAAATTGAATTTCTTTTTTACTTTGCAAAGATTATTAGTTAAAGATTGAGGCAATCACGAAAATTAGCTGTTGTATGTTATGATGCACATTAGAGATATTATTGCTATTCATTTAAAATGCATATTACTTAACGCGTGGTCTAGTTTTGTCATTACTTCATGAAAACTCTTGTCACATTTCTCACTGTTGGGCTTGCAAATCGACTTTACTGATATTTTGATTGATTTTGGAAAGATCCAGAAACGTTGCAAATTTCTTAAGAAGATTAATTTTATGGCATCGCCTATTATAAAGATTTATTTATTTCAGACATTTTGCATGATTTCATTGACAAATAAGGCCACTTGATCAAGTTTTATATCCATGAAATATCAAGTTTATAAAGTGTTTTATAGAATCGGAATTATCGACTATAAATGAAGTTAAATCTTAACGGATTTCAAAAATTAGAAAAGCTGTTAAATTTTAAAATCTTTTAATCAATCGGAATGCGTTCGTGGTCATTTGCTACTTTGCGACTTTGAAATGTTAATTTTTTTTTACAAAAAAAAAGAAACATGCTTGCAATGACAAATTACTTAAATAGAGATACGTAGGAAAAAAATATACTTACATTTAGATCACAGTGATATTTTATCTCAAAAACCTGGTCTGTTTCAATAATCTTTGATATGTTTGAATATTAATAAATTTCTTTTCTTCTAAATTTCTTAGTAGGATTTCTCACTTTTCAGAGTAATTATAATTTATCATGCTTCTGTTTTTGTTTCCATCTTTTTCGCTGTTTCTTGACACAACAATCAACTCAATTTAAATATTTTTAATGTATTTTTTCATTTATAAATTGATTTTTCATCGTTTTCATCCAGCAATAAAGACTGTGGGCTTATTGCATTTTTATTCAATATTTAAAAGAATTCAACTGCTTTGTGTCATTTGATTTTATTTAATAATTTTATTTTACACCCATTACACTTCCAGAGAGCACTAAAAATAGCAGAGTTGTCATCGAGCTGTCATGGCTAGATTATATTGATGCCTAAAAAATTATGTCTTTGGTCAGTAAATGACTGATTAAGGCATTGATATTTTAGACATTACACAGATGGCAACTCTGAGACCAAGAGGAACAAAAATTATTGCTTTTTAATGAAATGATTATTTTTTTCACATATTTTTAACACAATTTTATAGCAACAAATGCAGAAAATAATTTAAGCGCATTGCCTTATTCAGGAACACAAATTAATAATTATAGGGATTCAAATAAATCATCCACACGTAATCCTTTCTGCAACTTTGGATTATTTTTTTTATGAGATATAAAATATTCACAATTTAAGAGAGATTCAGATTCGATACAGACAATAAAATTTCATTCCTTTTGCAGCAACAGCAGATTTAAACAACAATTTAAAAATTTATATGCCGAATAAGTATTAAAAGACACACACGCTAGTTAACAGTTTGAAGTCTAAAATCAAACTAAAACTCTTTTCCTCGTTGCTCGCTGGTGCTGTGTCTTTCTGTGTATCTTTGTTCATTCATTTACTGTAGTTGTTGTCACACTTGTGAATGTATTTTGTTCACAACATCCTACTTTGTAATAAAATTCTCGGTTTTTTTTTCTTCTTTTAATATTAAATTTAATTTTGAATTTTGTTCAATCGTACTACTCAATTTAATTAAATGTCCAAGACACTTACTGATTAGGATTTTTTTTTTTTTGGATAAACTTCGCACGCAAATGTTGCAAGACTTCTTTGGCATTTTATTAAGTATTTAAATATATTTAATTTTATTATGCAGTTACTGCACAATTTAATTTAAAATTGATTTGTAACCAGCATGTGTTGTTGCACTTAATACTTCATCTATACTAAACTAATCGGCCTTGAAAACATTTCTATACATGGAAAGTATCGCGCTGCATTGAGAGAGAAAAAAAATATAAAGAAAAAGAAATAAAAAAAAAATACATCGAAGAGTCGAGTGGAGCCTCTTCCAATGAATATTTTAAATTTGTTAAGTTGCAGTCAGTCAGAGTCAGTAGGCATGTACAAAATAAAAACAAATAACTTCATGAAATGTAAAGGGACATGGCAAAAATAAATGTGTACAGCACACACTGTACTGAGCATTAAAGCGACAAATTTTTTCAACATTTCAATATTAAGTCACTTCTCAAGGATTATGAATAATTTTTTTTTTTCTTGAATACTACCTATGCAGATTCGAAACGATTAATTTTGTGATTTTTATTCCTTTTATGGAAGTTGTAAGTGAGTTGAGTCAAGGAAATTATAAGTTTGTGTTGGTTAGAAATACCAAAAGATAAGAAAATTACATGACATTGAACTTTTATTGATTGGAACTAAAAAATACATCACATCATTCTTTCACTCATAGCTTCTCGAGAATGGACAAAAGTTCACGTTCTCTATCCGCTCGCCTTAATATCTCGATGAAATCATCAAGACGTTCAGGATTTTGAAAGAAACTTTCCAAGTTGAAAATTGTACCTTTAGACTCATTCTGAGAACTTAGTCGATGATCAGTCAATCGATCCTGATTGAAATTATATGTACGAATTTTCTCATTTCTATTTGCATGACCAACTTGACTTTTTCTTGTTTTAAGGTACTTGTCGAAAGTCTCTTTGATCTGTCTATCCACTAAAATCTCTCTCAATTTCCTCATTGCTATTTCACGATTTTTAATCTGTGAACGATCTTCTTGACACTCGACTTGGATCGATGATGGTAAATGAGTAATTCTTACAGCACTTTCAGTAGTGTTCACATGCTGACCTCCAGCACCTTTAAGGTAGAAGGGATAAAAAAGGGTTTTTTTAAAATAATTTTTTACAGCTTTTTTGATCAAGTGCTTCAAAGTTTCTGTGGAAGTCATGTTCATCTTATAAACCGTTGAACAGGGAATTAAGTAAGGCATGTTCTTTAACGATGAAGCACTCGATCTCAAAAACTGTTTTTTAGTAAATCCTATAATTATTTAATAGCTTCTATAGATTAATTTGGAGTTTTATGATTTCATTATATTTTTTTAAGAATGCATCAGGAAAATGATAAACTTCTGCCGTATGTTTCAAAAATTGAAAGTGCTTCGATTCCAGCATCAATCTTATCGATGTGAAGTTCTTGAAATTTATATAGAAGCTTTATTACTTCATAAGTGCCTTATGCCATCCCACTATGGGGCAAAATTGAAAAAAAAACGGACTTTCACTTCGAAAAAGGCAATGATTCGAATTACGTTCTCAAGTGGATTTTTTCTTGTAGAGGACATAAAAATAGACTTCTATGCCAAATTTCAGGTCATTTGGTGCTATTTTTGCGAATCTGTGGCTGTTTGAAGTTGAAAAAGGGTGAAAAATCTGGTTTTATCATGTCACGTTAAAACGTGTAAATTTCCGAAATGGTTTGAGCTGGTTAGAGATATTGAAAAAAGGTTTTCAGTTCCTAAAAGTGTTATATAAGAGCTTTATTTTAATGTATATCAAAGTTTACGAATTTGATGTTTTGGTACCGGCAGGGGGAAATTTACTCAGCTTAAAATTTTTACACCTGTTCTACTCATAATTTGTTTTTAATTCTTTTTACTTTTAAGCGCATTTTTGAAACTTGTTTCTAAAAGGTAGCTTAATATCTCACTATGTCTGTTCGTTCGGGCGGAGAAAAACTATTTAACTAGACATCGAAGAGAGTTCTAGTTTGTTTTATTAACACAGGTCCATTGTTTTATTTTCGGGAAACGCATTTAAAAGTCTTGAAACAGTGTTTTTGTACTATAATTAATGATTTTTATATTTCACATGAAAGAACACGTGATGAGAGCGTTTAGAAATTCAAATTTTTATTTCTACCGTTGAAAAATTTTGAATCTCAAAAAACTGTTAAATTACCAAGCCTTTTTATATGAAAATTTTTTTTGTAACAGACTGTTATTTATGCTATAATTAATGATTTTACTGCAACTTTTGGCAAGATACTTTCAAATGCACCGTTACAAAATTTGAACTTCAGAAAACCGGTAAATGATAAACAATTTATATAGGAGAATGAAAGATATTAAATTGATAAATGTACTATAATTAATGATTTTTATATTCACACCGTTTTCACGTGTGAATCTATTGGTTTTGTTCAGATTGAAAAATCAGTTTTTCGCATTTTGTGAGAAAACAAAGCAAAATTGGTTATAAAAGGCTACAGAAGAAAAGTTTGTGCCTGAAATTTTACATCATTTTCAAAAAACAGATTTCAAATTGGTTGTGGCATTGCTGAGAAAATCGCAAAATACGTACGCAAAGTTGGTACTTTAGACGAAAAAAAATATTAAATGTGAATTCTTTGTGTGAAGTTTTCAAAAATTCATGTGAAGAATTGCCTTAAAGAAAAAAATTTAAAATAAGTTAAATAAGTTTCAAATAATTTTCAAAGATTATAAGTCCAGAAAGTGAGCTGAAGTGGCTCGGTGGCGGAATGGTTTAGTACTTCGGTGCCTAATTATTGCAATACCGACACAGCGATCATGGGTTCGAGACTGGGTATGGGAAATTTTTCACTTGTTCTTTTTCGAATCATATGTACTGGAAATGAGGCTCACAGCCTTCCTTTGTAGGCTACAGACAGAAATGTCATCAAAGGAGTGGTTCGGATCCCACTATAAATTGTAGGTCTAGGTTTGAGTGCAGTGGTTTGGCGCATCCTCACTCGTTAAACTCTCATTAGCTGCGAATCGCCCTAGCGCACCTCTGGATCACAATTGATCTGAATAGGTAAAGGTTTTTTTTTTTTTTTATAAGTCCAGAAAAATGTATCTGGACTTATGATCGCACTGTGAGATTATAAGTAAAATTTATAAATTTTCTGGAATTATAAACCACACGTAAGGTTTATTAGTCCAGATATAAAATGTACCTGGACTTAAAAACCTCTCGTGCAGTTAATAATTCCAGCTATATTTGTATCTGGACTTATAAACTGCACGTGAGGTTTTTAAGTCCAAGTGCAATTTGTATCTGGACTTATAAACCTTTAGTCACTTTTATTTTCTGGACTTTTAATTTTCTGTGAAAGATTTTTGTATCTGGACTTATAATCTCTGGACTTACATATAACCCAGCATCTTAAACAACTATAAATAACTTGGAAACTATTTAATTAATTAAATGAAATTTTTTCACAAGTTTATGCACGAGGGGCTTTGAACTTTTTCTAGATATATTTTAAAATGCAATTTAAAGCATTTTTGGTTTCGATCATAGCAGGCTATTTTCAAAAAAAAAACCGATTTTATATCTACATTAGCATTCTTTATCATTTATAATACCTAGATATGTTTTAAAATGCAATTTAAAGCATTTTTTGTTTCGATCATAGTAGGCAATTTTCAAAAATAATCGATTTTAAATCTATATTAGCATTCTTTGTCATTTATAATACCTAGATATGTTTTAAAATGCAATTCAAAGCATTTTTGGTTTCGATCATAGTAGGCTATTTTCAAAAAAAATATCGATTTTATATCTACATTAGCATGCTTTATCATTTATAATACCTAGATATGTTTAAAATGCAATTTAAAGCATTTTTGGTTTCGATCATAGGAGGCTATTTTCAAAAAATATAACGATTTTATATCTACATTAGCATTCTTTATCATTTATAATACCTAGATATGTTTTAAAATGCAATTTAAAGCATTTTTGGTGTCGATCATAGTAGGCAATTTTCAAAAAATATCGATTTTAAATCTACATTAGCATGCTTTATCATTTATAATACCTAGATATGTTTTAATATGCAATTTAAAGCATTTTTGATTTCGATCATAGTAGGCTATTTTCAAAAATAATATCGTTTTTTTATATATATATTTTAGCATTCATTATCATTTATAATCTCTAGATATGTTTTAAAATGCAATTTAAAGCATTTTTGGTGTCGATCATAGTAGACTATTTTCAAAAAATATATCGATTTTATATCTACATTAGCATTCTTTATCATTTATAATACCTAGATATGTTTTAAAATGCAATTTAAAGCATTTTTGATTTCGATCATAGTAGGCTATTTTCAAAAATAATATCGTTTTTTTATATATATATTTTAGCATTCTTTATCATTTATAATACCCAAATATGTTTTAAAATGCAATTTAAAGCATTTTTGGTTTTGATCATAGTAGGCTTTTTTCATAAAAATTTCAATTTTATATCTATATTAGCATTCTTTATCATTTATAATACCCAAATATGTTTTAAAATGCTATTTAAAGCATTTTTGGTTTTGATCATAGTAGGCTATTTTCAAAGAAAATATCGATTTTATATCAATATTAGCATTCTTTATCATTTATAATACCTAGATATATTTTAAAATGCAATTTAAAGCATTTTTGGTGTCGATCATAGTAGGCAATTTTCAAAAAATATCGATTTTAAATCTATATTAGCATTCTTCATCATTTATAATACCTAGATATGTTTTAAAATGCAATTTAAAGCATTTTTGGTGTCGATCATAGTAGGCAATTTTCAAAAAATATCGATTTTAAATCTACATTAGCATGCTTTATCATTTATAATACCTAGATATGTTTTAAAATGCAATTCAAAGCATTTTTGATTTCGATCATAGTAGGCTATTTTCAAAAAAAATATCGAGTTTATATCTATATTAGCATTTTTTGTCATTTATAATACCTAGATATGTTTTAAAATGTAATTCAAAGCATTTTTGGTTTCGATCATAGTAGGCTATTTTCAAAAAAAATATCGATTTTATATCTACATTAGCATGCTTTATCATTTATAATACCTAGATATGTTTTAAAATGCAATTCAAAGCATTTTTGATTTCGATCATAGTAGGCTATTTTCAAAAAATATATCGAGTTTATATCTATATTAGCATTCTTTGTCATTTATAATACCTAGTTATGTTTTAAAATGCAATTTAAAGCATTTTTGGTGTCGATCATAGTAGGCAATTTTCAAAAAATATCGATTTTAAATCTACATTAGCATGCTTTATCATTTATAATACCTAGATATGTTTTAAAATGCAATTCAAAGCATTTTTGATTTCGATCATAGTAGGCTATTTTCAAAAAATATATCGAGTTTATATCTATATTAGCATTCTTTGTCATTTATAATACCTAGATATGTTTTAAAATGCAATTTTAAGCATTTTTGATTTCGATCATAGTAGGCTATTTTCAAAAATAATATCGTTTTTTTATATATATATTTTAGCATTCATTATCATTTATAATACCCAAATATGTTTTAAAATGCAATTTAAAGCATTTTTGGTTTTGATCATAGTAGGCTTTTTTCATAAAAATTTCAATTTTATATCTATATTAGCATTCTTTATCATTTATAATACCCAAATATGTTTTAAAATGCTATTTAAAGCATTTTTGGTTTTGATCATAGTAGGCTATTTTCAAAGAAAATATCGATTTTATATCAATATTAGCATTCTTTATCATTTATAATACCTAGATATATTTTAAAATGCAATTTAAAGCATTTTTGGTGTCGATCATAGTAGGCAATTTTCAAAAAATATCGATTTTAAATCTATATTAGCATTCTTCATCATTTATAATACCTAGATATGTTTTAAAATGCAATTTAAAGCATTTTTGGTGTAGATCATAGTAGGCAATTTTCAAAAAAATATCGATTTTAAATCTACATTAGCATTTTTTATCATTTATAATACCTAAATATGTTTTAAAATGCAATTTAAAGCATTTTTGGTTTTGATCATAGTAGGCTATTTTCAAAAAAAATATCGATTTTATATCTATATTAGCATTCTTTATCATTTATAATACCTAGATATGTTTTAAAATGCAATTTAAAGCATTTTTGGTTTCGATCATAGTAGGCTATTTTCAAAAATAATATCGATTTTATATATATATATATGTATAGAGTATTATTGGTTTGAGTGATGAAAAAAACATACAAGTCGTCAGATATCAAAAGTACCCTATATAACGACAAATTTTGAACTTTTTGAAAAAATTTCTTCACTGGTTGTCTTTAAATATTGTTTTTCATTGAAAAATACCAAAAAACTTATTTGTAGTTATTGTTTTGTTTTATTTATAAGAAATTTTCGTTTTTGACAAAATATTTGTCGATTTACTCAAATCAACTTTTCTCACAACGGTGCAAACATTATTTTAATGTTTATACAGTTATGAAAACTAGAAATCAGTAGCTATTTAATGGTGTGGTTTTTGACTGGTTTAGCGGTTGACAGAAAAAAGTTGAGCCTGCACAAGAATATTTTTCTTAGGATTTTTATACACTTTCAACTACACCGGTACCCCTGTGAAAGATTTTGTTTTTTTATTTACATGTAGAATTGATCTTTACAAAGAAAGATCTGTGTCAGAATTTTTCTGAGCCAGACAACTTGCAAGTTGATCGAAAAAGTGAAAAGTTTGTCAAAAATTCAGCGTATATGCTTATGGGAAAAATAGTTTTGTCTGTACTTCATGTAATTTTTAAAATGCTATTGTGCTTCACCTACTTATCCGTTTGTCTTCAAGGTACATGTTAGAGCTTTCTTATGAATATCCACATGATATCCTTTTGATGTATTTTGGTTCCTAAAAGTTGAAAAAAGAGCGAAAAAACTAAGTTTTTTGTCATTTTTTGGACCTCATGACTATATAAGGCTTTCTGAATTTTTTTTTTTTGATTGTAGTATATTGTAGATTTCATTTATATCTACAATCATCACATACATAATCTACATATTTTATGTAGTTTGAGCAGTGAAAATTAACTTTGAAGTCAAAAATTTGCATATTTTTTGCTTTATTCTCAATCAATAATTTGTAGAGTTTAGTATGTTCTATCAATAATTGCAATAAGAAAGTAGGATACCTGGTGAGGTATCTCAAAATTCAAAATGAATTTTCACATACCAGTCTTAATGTAAGGAACTGAAATTTTCAGGTTTTATTCAAAAAGCAATGTTCTTAACATCCACAACAAAAGTTTATAATTAAGCTACTTTAACTAGTTTAAATCAAAACATATCTACAATTTTCATATAGCTTATTTAAAAAGCTTTCCAATAGTTTATAATAAGTCATATAAAGATGTAATTTCTAGTAAATATTTTTGACAAGCTTTTCACTTTTTCGATCAACGTGACTTGCCAGAATGCAACACTGCTCAAAACATACTAGAGTTCCTCGATTTAAATATTTGTTTTGTTTCAAAGCTCAAAAAACCAAAACCATTAAAACAATGATAATTTTTACAATATATTTTGCATAATGGTTTTACAAAATGGTGTTTATAGAAATTGGTGCGAACTGTAAATGCAGGTGAATGCATGAAGATTTCACAAATCTTTATCCTTGGAAATAAGCAAAAATTTTGTTTTTTAACATAGGTAGGAAAAAAATTCTGTTCAAATCGACAACAAAGAAATCCTAATTGTGCAAGAACTACCAGGGATTTGTTGAATTCTATAAAAACGGTCTCCAAATGTTACTAGCATCAAGTTTGGCAATCATATGATTATTGATCGTTCCAACATAGACGAAGAAAATTCACGAATCACACCATAGTTCATGATTATCACATAGGAAATGTAGTAGCATAAATGACCAAATGCTTTACAGTTTACACTTTGTCAAATCTTGATCAATGTTTCGAACTGGTCTTATTTTCCCATACTGACTAGTTTGAGCCTATGATAAACTTTTCATACTTTAATCGATGTTTGGAATGTGCATGTTAATGTTCAGTTTGTTTAAATTAGCTCTTTTGAATTCTGTTGGGTTGCAGCACAATTCTATGAATAAAGCTGCTGTAAAATGACGCGCAAAATTATCAGGTAAAACAAGAATGCAATAAAATCATCAAAAACTTGTAAACTATTCTATAGGCTTACTCAGAGCTGGAATTCGACTCGACTTGACCGTTTACGTACCTGATGCTCGCTTTGTATCAATTTTAAGGTCCTTGTCATTTATTTCCACTGAATGTCTATGTGTAATTGGTATACATGCTAATGTTACAGTGGATGTATGAATTCTGTAAAGTGATTCATGACAGACAGCTTTTACATGCACATCAACTGTTTGACGTTTAGAATAAGTCGAGACTCACCTTCCTTTTGATTCCGTTTTAGGTATTCGTTGAACTCGATGAACTCCAATTTCATATCTTAAATGATCCCATACGAAATGACCTTTTACTGTTGCCTTGTAATGCCTTAAATACACTCCATCGCTTCTGTCTGTATCAACAGAATCCAGTTCCCAGTTTTTGTAGTTAAAATAATTATTGTACATTGTACACAATTCGTCGGCAAAGAGCATTGCCTCTTTACCTCCCACGCCAGCAGATATTTCAAATATACAGTCACTGTTTCCTGATATCCTCTCACTATCTTTTGACTGCTCATATTCGTAGATTTCGTTAAAAATTTTGTCAATTATTTCGCTCTTTTCATTTTCAAGTTTAATTTTTTCCTCGTTCATTAATGTCATCATTTCCTCGTCTACCTTATTCTCTGGACTTGTCTCTTTCTCTATTTCAGCAATACTATTTGATACAAAATTGTAGTCATTCATAAGATTATTAAATATTTTACTGCCTTCATCGTCATTTTCATTTTTATTAATTTGACTAATATAAGTGTTGATTTTATCAAAATACAGCTTCTTTATATTGTCTGAGTAGTAATTTCTCCTATACAAACGATTCACTATCACTGGAAGCTTCAAAAGTCTCTTAAAGATCATTTTAAAGTGCGTGCTGGATTAATGTTTTCTATTATTTTTGTAAACATGCAGTGCTGCTAAACGTTTCGAAATTGTCTTCGAATTCTTGGTTTTTTAATCGACTCTTTACTCTTACTTAGAGCTGTAATATGCTCGGATGTAAGTAAATATGCATATTAAGCTATTGATAATGATATAATTGATGATTTTAAGGAAAATTCGTTGTCATGTAAAATTAACGGTTTTAAATAATTCAAAAAGATTCGTAATGTTTTTCTAAAATAAATTTCTTGAATTTTCTCGAAAAACAACTTTTATACTTAAATTAATAGGAATTACAGTAAAACAACATTATTAATTAGTTGAAGCACATCTAGCAAGTATGGTTGACTATTCAAAGTGGAAAAATATTGAAGTATCGGATGATGAAGACGGTATTTATGAAATTTTAATAATTTTGAAAATTTATGTTCGGCAAAAGATCCAGTGTAACTACCTGTTTGACTATAGACTCCTTATATCATTACTGGATCTTGTAATTATCAGATTAGATTTGTATTTAATTAATAATATGTTACAGAAACTCATCCAAACATCGATACTCCGTCTTTATTCAGATGGAGGCATCAAGCTCGAGTTGAAAGAATGGAGCAATTGGATCAAGAGAAAAAGATACTGGAAAATTCGATTAAGGAAGCTGAAAAAAAGAAAAAGATCGTACAAGAAAAGCTTAAAAATGCATCTGATAATTCAATGAGTGAATTAAAGAAGGAAATTGACAAAATTGATAAAGATATAAAGGCATTAGAAAATCAAAAGAAAGAGTTTAAGAAAAAAGAGGAATTAACACCGTGGAATGTCGATACACTTTCACAGCCAAAGTTCTCAAAAACTGTTATTAACAAAAAGGTAGAAGAAAAAAATTACGAGGACATGACAGACGAGGAAAAAGAGGCACACATGAAAAAGTTTATTAAAGAAAACGAAAGTCTTATTAAGCAGTACGGAATGCTTCAAAAATTCGATGACTCAAAAAAATTCTTAATGCAACATAATTTACTCGTTCACGAAGATACTGCAAACTATTTAGTCATTTGGTGCATTAATCTAGAGATGGAAGAGAAACGTGAATTAATGCAACATGTTGCTCATCAATGTATTTGCATGCAGTATATGCTTGAACTATCAAAACAGCTTAAAATTGATCCAAGAGCTTGCATTGCTCCATTCTTTGAGAGAATACAGACAGCTGACATCGAATATCGTCGTCAATTTGAGGATGAACGTAATGCATTTATCCAAAGAATCATAAATAGAGCTAAAGAAAAAATCGCTCAGGCTTTAAAGGAACAAGAGGAAGAAGAAGAAAGAGAAAGGAAGGAACGCTTAGGTCCAGGCGGCCTCGATCCAGCAGAAGTTTTTGAGACATTGCCAAAGGTTTTTTCATAAATTAATTTATATCGTTGAATCTATTACTTATGTCTAAAATTAATTCACAGGAGCTACAAGATTGCTTCGAAAAGCGAGACACGGAAATGTTAAAGGAAGCCATCATGAAGATGCCAGAAGAGGAAGCAAAATATCACATGAAACGATGTGTAGATAGTGGTCTTTGGGTTCCTGAAGGTGGCACAAAAGAAGAACCTGCTTATCAGGAAGTAGGCAGCGTCAGTGAACAAAAAGCTGATGATTTAGACTTGGATTAAATAAATTAAACTCTCTTTTACTTCATTCGATACACGTTTTATTAACTGCTTTCGTGAATAACATGATTTTCAATTGATAGATTACAATCCAAGCGATTTAAAATATATAAATTGATGTAAAAAAGAAAAGATTACAAAACATCTCTCTGCTGTTGTTATTGATGAAGTAACTGAATGTTTATTGAATATTTCTGCTAAATTCAGTCTGATCTTAATCTTCCAAGAAAAAGTATTGACCAGCGCGCTTTTGTTCAACATCCTGCGAAAATTAAATATTTTATAATAAATTATAAAGCTTGAAAAATAATCAAGAATAAAAAATGATCATGTAAAAAAAAAGTTATTACCTTAACGGATCTATCCTTGTTGATTCTCGGTCTAAAATTGTTTGGATCACGACGGAATGTAATTCCTAGGAGTTGAAGGAACTTGTTCATTCCATTAAGCAGAGCTTCTGGTGTGTGAGCTGTCGTGTCTACAGATGGTGATCCCTCAAAAACAATCACACGATCTGCTAAATATGTAGCCATAATAAAATCGTGCTCGACCACAAATCCAGTTTTTTTCGAATGTAAAATATATCTGCAAAAAAAGGACAATTAAGGACCATTTCGATGATTGTTCAAAACACCTAAAGTTTTTTACCTCTAAACATTTCAAAGTTATAAAACCTAACATTTGTATATAGGTGTTAAAAACTGCACGTGCAGTTTTTTACTTCTAATGATTTTTCCATTAGAAGTAAAAAACTACACGTGTAGTTTATAACTTCTATATACATTTATATATAGAGATTATAAACTGCATGTGCAGTTTTAGAAGATTAGAAGATCATTAATTTTAGTGCAATTAGCAAATAATTACAATGAATGCTTATATAGAAAGGCTTTGTTATTTACAGCCAAAAAATGATTTGAAATTTTCCCGCTAAAAGTTGCACTTCAAAAACAATAACTATAGTATAATTAACAGAGTTTGAAAATAAAATGAAAATTGCTCTATTTTGAAAATAAATCAAAATGAAAATTATCAAAATTGCCAATTTTGATCAAAGCAATTTTGCAATTTTGTCAATTTCAGAAAATTGCAATTTTGGAAATTGTTTATTTTCCAAAATTGCAATTTAAGTATAGTATCTTTAATTTAAAATAAACTTAAAGGAACAACGCATCAAACACGCAGGAATTAGCAAGTATTAAGTTAAAAACGAATATCAACATCCAGGAAATAAACCGTATCTTTTGTTTTTCTGAAGAAAAAATTCATTTAAAAAGAAGAAAATTTTCATACAAAATTATTCATCAAATATTTATGACGTCACAAAAATAAAAATTGATAATTTCCAAAATTGCAATTTTCTGAAATTGACAAAATTGCAAAATTGCTTTGATCAAAATTGGCAATTTTCATAATTTTCATTTTGATTTATTTTCAAAATAGAGCAATTTTCATTTTATTTTCAAACTCTGATAATTAAATAATTTCTTCCAATGAATTTCCATATATAAAAAGTTTATCATTTAACGATTATTTGAGATTCAAATTTTCTAACGATCAGTAAGTTTTTGAAAGCTTCCCGCCAAAAGAAATACAAAAAATCATTGATTATAGTAGGGGCTGTTCACTTATTACGTAACGCGAAAAAATGACTTCTTAGACCCCCCCCCCCTCGTAACAAAATTTGTATGGAAAAAAAATTTCCTTGTTTGAACCGTAACAAAATCTTAGACCCCCCCCCCCTAAAAGCGTTACGTAATAAGTGAATGGCCCCGTATATTTATCAATTTAATATCTTTCATTCTCCTATATAAATTGTTTATCATTTAACGGTTTTCTGAAGTTCAAATTTTGTAACGGTTGTATGCATTTGAAAGTATCTTGCCAAAAATTACAGTAGAAGCATTAATTATAGTATAAATAACAGTCTGTTGCAAAAAAAAATTTCATATAAAAAGGCTTGGTAATTTAATGGTTTTTTGAGATTCAAAATTTTTCAACGGTAGAAATAAATTCGAATTTCTAAACGCTCTCATCACGTGTTTTTTCATGTGAAATATAAAAATCATTAATTATAGTACAAAAACACTGTTTCAAGACTTTTAAATGCGTTTCCCGAAAATAAAACAATGGACCTGAGCTAATAAAACAAACTAGAACTCTCTACGATGTCTAGTTAAAAAGTTTTTCTCCGCCCGAACGAACAGACAAAGTGAGATTTTAAGCTATACTAATGTATATAGAGATTAAAAACTCGAATTACAGAAAATTAATCCTCGGATTTAACTTTAAGCTTTTTGCTTGATTAACCAATTTTGATCATTTAAACGGTTTTGAGTAGTAATTTCAATCACGGGATCCCGAAAACCTATTTTCCAATATCCCGGGATTAGAAAAGCTTCAATCTTAAGTTAAAAATAGATTTTATGATCATTCGAATGCATCTCGAATGCGATAAAATCTATTATTTGAAATAAAAATTAAAGTTCTTGATATTTTATAAAACAAAAGTTTTTACAAAAGAATAATCAAATTTTTACGTTAAATTTTAAATCATTTTTGATTTGAAAGGTTAAAAGATAATCTTTATGAAAATTTACAAAAGCTTCAATTGTAAAGTTAAAAAGTTCAGACAAGAGAACAAAAGGAAATATTGATACATTTGGAAAAACTTTGTCTTTCTGGCTTAGTTTTTAATTCAAAAATTTTTTTAATGACTAATACACCTGATTGGAATTGAAATCTCTTATTTTGAACACAAACGCAATTTTATACCGTAGTTTCTGAACTGAATCTAATACCGGGATTGAAATTTTGAGCCGGTATTGAAATCCCTAGTTTTGAGTATGTTTTTTACAAGACAAATAATATAAATTCTTCTTTTTTTCTTTAAGTTTAAGTTTATGAATTTTAAGCTGTGGTTATTTTAGTCAAACGTTATTTCAATTCCTTTTTATTACGTTACAAGCCAGTTGTTTATACGATGAAAAAAGTGAAAAAAAGGCTTAATAAGGGATAGTGGCTTGTTAAAAAATTGCAACCAACAAGAAAAAACAATAATTTTCATTAAAATCTTAAAATTTTCAACTCAAAACCACCTTGAAACTATTCTAGCTACTGGGGGTCCTCGATTTTGAGTAGATTCTATTTGAGTAGATTCGATTTGAAGAGAAAAATTATTACCCACCAAAATATTCGATTCGAGTAGATTTCTTCCTGTTTTCTTCGATTTGAATTGCTTACAAAACAAATTTTTTTGATAAAAACATTTCAGAAAATATTTTTAAAACATAAATTTTACTGCAATAAGCGTAAACTTATCATATTGATAGAAAAATCAATACTAAAGTTACAAAATTAAAGTAAAAATTTAAAAAATCGATATAAAATTAACGGTTTTAAAAAGTTCAAATTCAAAAACCTTACAAATTGTTCAGTGAAATAACATTTGCAAGGTTCTCATATTTTTGTTTTGTTTCAAAAACATATTTTTTGTGAATTTCTGTTTAAAAACAATATGAATATGCGTTGAAAAAAATCAAGTTATCTAAAACACATAGGAAAAGTTAAGCAACGAGGTAAAATGTGCAAAAAATTATCAAAATTTTCATTGTTTTGATATATTTTTTGGACTCTTGAACAAAACTTGTAATTTTGTATGGATTCTTTGCCTCGATTTGAATAGATTCGATTTGAATAGAATTTTTTGAAACAAAACTCTTTAAGCATTGCTGAATTTGCTTGAATTTTGAAACAAATGCTATGCCATCGTAAAGGATGATTTAAAATGAATTTTATTTATCATTCAAAGTTGCGGAACTGACCATATTCAGTGCCCAAAAGTTCAAAAATCTTTATTTTCTCAATTTTGGGATCTGATTCCATTTTCAAACAAATTTTTTGAAAAATTTTCACTTGTGACTTCACAAATTGAGATTAAAAATCTCAATTGAGATTGAGAAGTGAGAAAAAAAATCTCACGAGATTTGAAAACTCGCGAGATTTCAAATCAAGTTTTCTGAGAAAATTTTTCTCACGAGTTTTTGGGTGAGATTTCGAACACTACAAATTTTATAACGAAAGAAATAAATTCGAATTTCTGATCTCACTCAACGTGTTTTTCATTCGAAATTAAAAAATCCTGTGGTCGGCAAAGAGCTTATAAAATCAGTTGAAACTTAAAAGATTTGAATTTGAATTTTTTTTATTTCAGGCGGGAAAATTTAAATTCAGGAAAAACGTTATTTGTTTTTAAGTTATATTGCTTTTAAATAAGGGGCCATTCACTTATTACGTTCGCATTTTAGGGGGGAGGAAAATTGTAACCAAATGTAACATAGGGGGGGGGGGGGGGGGGGGGTGTAAAGAAGTATGTAACGTTCTAACTGTCATCTGTCTTACAAATTCATCCAGATCTGTTTTGATAGCTAAGCAATACATAGTTTTTGTTATATATAGTAAGAAATCAATAGAAAACTGGTTTGAAAGACTTTAAAATACAATCATAATTTATGGAAATTTTCAAAAAATTATATCAATCATAAGTTTAAAAGTAAATCTCTCTAAATCTGTCATTCATATGATGATTAATATGATCCCATCATTGTGATATTTACATTCAAAGTTGATTGAATTTTCCAAAATTCGATCGGGCATCATATTTTTCTTGACATTTTTGAATTTTCTTCAAAAAAAATTGTTGCTTTATATCTCAATCCAAAAATTTATGAGTTGATACTCATAGTATCAATCAAAACATGACCTATTTAGCTATACAGTATTTTGATGTTTAAAACAAAACATTCACACGTGAAAACGGTGTGAATATAAAAAAAAACAAAAGAAATTTATCCGTCTTTTTAGAATAAAAAATTATCAAAATAAAATAAATTATGAACGTTCAGGGGGGAGGGGAGGGGGGGGGGGGTTGTGAGTTGTAACATATTGTAACAAGGGGGGAGGGGGGGTGACAAAAGTCGTTTTTTGCGTAACGTAATAAGTGAACGGCCCCTAATGTGATACTTTAATAATTTCACCCTTTTTACACGCTTTTATTTAACTCACTCTGTTATGGAGCGTCAAATCTTGCAATCGATTTTTCGACCACTTCTATTGCTCCAATCGAGCTCAAATTTTGTATACACACGTATTCCCGGTGACAATACAATATTGTAACACTTTGGAACCACAAAAATGCTTAATTATAGTACAATTTAACTAAAACTTTTTTATATGGGAAAAAATCCATTGTCAATGATATGAAATTTTGATTTGTTTAAAATATTATACTTGAAATGCTCAAAAGTCATTTATATGATTCATTATAGTTTAAGTAATATTACTAATTATTAATTTTACTATAAATTTGAAGAGCTAAAGATATTTTGGCAAGACAAAAAATTTGACAAGTAATTTTTTCATGAACATTCGTAAGTGAAAATTTGAATTTTCAAAAATACCGTTAAACACAAGTCCGTTACTAATTAATGCAAAATAACTATCAATATGCGATGTGCATTTAGCACACATATTTAGAGCATACATTTATGCTGTTTTAATTTTTTTTCAATATTTATAACACTTCACCAATTTAATTATGTTAATTATTCTATTTATTAACGGCTTGACATATTTTTGCATATCACAGGGCATATCATATAAATGACATTCATAAAATTTAAATTTGAAAAAATCCGTTATAAATACGTTACGTATAGATGTGATTTTCATCTTTATGTTAAGAATCTACATGTTACGTAGTAGGAATGGGACGGATAAACTCAAAATCTTTATTTGAGCATTTTATTTGAAGGACATTTTTAAAAGAGTTTCATGTATTTTCAGGTATGAATTAAATAATTTAAAACGAATGAAAAATTTTGACAGTCTTTACTAATTACCCATTAAAAACTGTTAATTCATAAAAAGTTGAATGAAATGGAGTAAAGCGAAGTGAAATCTAAAACTTCCTGTAATCTAAAAACTGTAACCTCCTTATTAAGTTTGATAGAGCCAGTGTTGTAATAAAACAAAAATTCCAAATTTTGGAAGTTGAATCGATTTATAGATTTGATAAAACTAAAAAGTAGAAAATAAAATACTATAAAAAAAAAACTTTTTTAAAAAAGCACGCTTTTATTTCCGATTACAGTGCACTAAAAAAGAGAAAATAATTTTTTTCTGAGAACTAAAATTTGATACAAAATTTTATCACTAAAAATAAAAGCGTGGGGCATTCTTGCATGCATCACTAAATCTTGAATTGTGACAATTAAAAATCATCCATATATGTTTACATGGCATTAGGTTTGTAAATATATTATAGAAAGTCTAGAGCTGGTTTAAATTAAACGCCCCACGCTTTTATTTTTAGTCATAAAATTTTGTATCAAATTTTAGTTCTCAGAAAAAAATTATTTTCTCTTTTTTAGTGCACTGTAATCGGAAATAAAAGCGTGCTTTTTTAAAAAAGTTTTTTTTTTATAGTATTTTTTTTTGGTCAGAAAATATTCTGATATTCTTAAAAATAGCATTTAGTGTACTTGATTCTGGGATTTCTAAAAAGAATTTTTTTTCTTCCTCATGTTTGTTTACATTTTGAAATCAGTTTAAAACAAAGAATGCACATTTATTTTGTGTTAAATATTGTTTTCTGTAAGAAAACCAAAAGATTTTCTGATTGGCTAAAATTTATAACGGATTTAGTTCTAAAAATAAGATCCGTTTGCCAACCACAGATTTGAAAGTTTCATTATAGAGTCATGGCCGTACATGCATTGGAAATTTGTTCACTTTGACCATATCGTATAGTTCTACATCTTAAAAGGTAAATTAAGTATGCACAAAAATAAAACAACATATATGTAATGAAATGTAAATCAATAGTTTGAAGTTGTCTAGACGCTTAGAAAAGTGAAAACCTTTGGTAAAAGTTCAAAATTTTGCATTCAGTACAAGTGCATATTTGGTGCTAAGAACGACTAGATAGCTTAATAAAGATAAATAATGTTTCATTTACGAATTTTTGAAAACGTCAATTGATAGAATTGTCCATAATTTTAAAGATAAAATTGTTATTAGTCTTGTCAATAACATACTCAAAACCGTTTAAATGATCAAAATTGGTTAATCCAGCAAAAAGCTTAAAGTTAAATCCGAGGATTAATTTTCTGCAATTCGAGTTTTTAATCTCTATATACATTAGTATATAGGTTTTAAAAACTGCACGTGCAGTTTTTTACTTCTAATGATTTTTTCATTAGAAATTAAAAACTGCACATGCAGTTTATAATCTCTATATATAAATGTATATAGAAGTTATAAACCACACGTGTAGTTTTTAACACCTATATACTAATGTATATAGAGATTAAAAACTCCAGATGCAGAAAATTTAGGTTTTATAAATTTGAAAATGATTAGAGGTAAAAAACTTTAGGTGATTTGAACGGTCATCATCATTTCAATACAACTTGGACTTGAATCCACTGTCTGTAATTTCTTACAAAATTTTGACCCCAACTCTTCAAAACTGTATGAAAACAGTCATTCAAAAATGAAGTCAGATATGACTTTTAATATGAGGAATAGACTTAATTGACATACCTTTTGATCACTTTAGCGGCTACCAAACGTTGTTCTGAATCTAAATAGGCAGAAGGTTCGTCAACAAGATAAACAGAAGCGGGTTTTCCAAGACAAAGAACTAATGCGACACGTTGCAATTCACCACCAGACAAGTTTTGGACTTCTTGATCAATAATTTCCTCAATTTTCATTGGCTTCATAACATCAGCAATAAACTGTGGATGAATGTATGCATCCCGGATTTTATCATGAAGTAATTGTCGGACTGTTCCTTGATGTTTTGGTGAAATTTTCTGTGGTTTATATGAGACATGAAGCATTGGAAGTTTACCAGATCCTTCATCAGGTTCCAAATTGCCAGCAAGCATACGAATGAATGTCGTTTTTCCAGTTCCGTTTTCGCCAAGTAATACCAAAATTTCTGAGTCGCTGAATTGACCTTCGCACACTGTCAACGAGAAAGATCCGAGAGATTTTTTCATTTGTGGATAGTCGTAATGGCATGTTCTCTTAATTTCCTCTTCCGATGCAGATTCTGAGACCTTGAATGTCAAAGCTTCTGTACGGAAACGCATATTTTCAGTTGGAATATAACCATCCAAGAAAATGTTGATTCCTTCACGAACAGAAAATGGCATAGTAACAACTCCATAACATCCAGGAACTCCATATAAACAGCAAATAAAGTCAGACAAGTAATCTAAGACAGACAAATCGTGCTCAACAACGATAATAAATTTATCTGGATGAATAAGTGATCGAATTGCCAAAGCACAGTTTAAACGTTGTCGAACATCAAGATATGATGACGGTTCATCAAACATAAAAATGTCTCCATTCTGAATGCATACCATAGCACAAGCAAAACGCTGCAATTCTCCTCCAGACAATGCACCAATTTCACGATCCTTAATATGCAATAAATCAAGCTGCTTGCAAATTTGTTGTTGAACATCTCTCTCATCTTTCTTGTCGAGTAAAACACGAATTGTGCCTTTTACAGATTTTGGAATTTGATCAACATATTGTGGCTTAATTAAAGCTCTCAAATCGTCTTCCAATATCTTGGTAAAATAGTTTTGTAATTCATTTCCACGAAAATAAGTCAAAATTTCTGTCCAGTCCGGTGGATCATTAAAACGACCAAGATTAGGCTTCAATTTTCCAGCAAGAATTTTTAGAGCAGTTGATTTCCCGATTCCGTTCTGTCCAACTAATCCCAAAACTTCTCCAGGTCTTGGAACTGGCAATCGATGAAGCTTAAACGAATTCTTCGAGTAACGATGAGTCGTATGCTTTTCCAAATTACTTGGAACATTGATGATCGTAATGGCTTCAAATGGACATTTCTGTAACACAAATACAAAGTTTTAGGGGCACAATAATATCATATATTATATAGATGTCAAGTAATTATTACCTTCACACAAATACCGCATCCAATACACAGTTCCTCGGATAATGAGGCGATTTTTGATTCAGGAGACACTTCAATACAAAGCTTTCCCATACGAACCACTGGACATGATCTTTTGCATTCTTGTCGACATCGCTTTGGCTTACACTTGTCCGAATTTACAATAGCGATACGCGTTTGTTTATCTGTCTCGTCTCGCTCACGATTTCGAGACATCCTGATTAGAAGAGATTAGAGAGGAATAAAACTGGATCTTTAGAATTATTTTTTAAAAGAGAAAGTGCATATGTGCGGAATGTATAACCAAAAAAGTGTTAGTAAAAAATATCAACACATCATCAATCGTAAAAACATGTTAAAAACACATCTTTGATGACAATTTTTCGATTAATTGGTGTATTAATGTCTTATAAACTTGTTAAAAATGATTTGAAGTTATGCTTAATAGAAACTATCGGAATAAATTAATAAAATTCAATCAACCTTTTGAAACTCCAAGAAAAACAAAGAGTAGGGGAGAAACAACGTTTGGTAAACTTCCGTAGAAAATTTTTCGAAATTATAAATAACCGTTAATGAAGTGTATGCCATAAATTAAACTACAATTCATTGCATTGTTAATTGACTATCCTTCTCTTTTAGCCTAGTCTATCCTCTAATATCGTGAAATTGAGTCACTTGTGCTTTGTACATAATTTACATGAATCTTCCGATTCAGTGATTCTCAATCTTTTTTTTGTCCCTAGCACTTTAAGAAATAGCACGAATTTAATATAATTAATGCCATCTTCATAACATTTTGGATCAAAATAAATCGAAAATCATCTATATTTGAGTTCCCAAACTTTCTTGATTGTGTCGTTGAGCATGGTTTGAGAAGCACTGATCCAACACGACGAATTTTTCTGAGTAAATTCTTAATTAAAGCTCTATTTAAAGGAAATTAAGGGATATTATGGAGAATCAAGCGAATAACTTGGATAAGGAGAATGTGGATACGATGAACGTGGATGGTCCAAAGATATATACAGTCGAAAGTAAGTAAATAAAGGTGTTTTAAATGGTATTTGTTGTAATTTAATTTTTTGCAATATTACTTACAGTTTTGAGGATGATTAAGGAACTTCAGCAACAACATGGTAAGATCAGAACATCAAACAATGTAAAGTATGTAACTAAAGTATCATGTATTGATAGGTTTAAGGCACGGGGATTTTCAGCGTTATCGTGGTTATTGCACTAGACGAGTTAAGAGATTGAGAAAGACATTAAACCTTCCCCAAGGCGATAAAAGGCATTTTAAGAAGCGGGATGTTAATGTAACTCACTTAGAAGGAAAAACAACGAATGAGAAGTATGTCCATATTCCATTAATCTTATCGGAGCGAGCTTGGGCCTATGCAATGCAGGTAATAACTTTAATTGACATCCATTAAACTTGTTTGTGACACGTCTGAACTTACTTAATAGCTGAGACAAGAAGCAAATAGTGAGCCACGAAAGAAGTTTCATTTAGTGTCCAAACTGAAGAAGGCTTGTGTCTATTCGATGCAGTTACAGACACTTGTTAATACGGACTTTTGTGATGCTCGAACAAAATTGGAAGCAGAAGCTTATAATGCATTCATCCATGGATCTTATTATTTTGAAATGGGCCGATGGAAGGAAGCTGCTGAAAATTTAAAGAAGGCTCAAGTTGTCTATGATAATTTAGTTCAAGCATTGCCAGAAGATGAACAAATCTTGTATAAGAATAGAATTGATGAAATTGCTCCAAGCTTACGTTATTGTGCTTATAATATTGGTGAAAACATAAATATGAATGACTTGCTAGAAATGCGTGGTCAAGGAATGTTGACTGATCTCGATACTTTGGTTGCACAAACGAAAACTGAACAAACTGATGCATTCCAAAGCACAGAATGGCGTGGACGAAAAGTTACTGTGCGTCCAGCAAAAGTTCGTTTGTTCCTATTGAGCATTCAAGACTTGAACAAGTCTGTTGAAAAAGTTAAGGATTATCAAGCTAAGATTGATATTGTTGAGAATGTCTTATTGGATTGTAAGGATGCTATTTCAGCACTTAAAGATGAGATCAAAACAGATCCGAAACTACGCATCACACAAGAAGGTCAGTTATCAAGTGTTCAATTTTTATTGACTTACCTTTCATACATTCGTCTTAAATTAACACTCGAACGAAATCTTTATTTGGTTGGGCAAGCTAAGCAAAACATGGAAGAGGAAAAATCTTCAGAATCTTCCAAAAAGGTTCGCTCACAAGATATATCTCGTCTATATGAAATTATTTTACAGAATATAACAGAATTACAACAGTTGAATGGCATGGAAAATGATAAGGAATATCAGACAGAAATTGAAACTTTATCATATGGTTTCAAGGCATTCAGATGTTATTATATTGCACTTACACTGGTAAATTTAAAGAGATGGAAAGAAGCAGTTTCTTTGTATGAGCGTTCCTTAAAATATGCAAATGAAGCAATCAAACAAAAGATTAAAGAGTTTAATTTGGATAAGGATTTGAAAGACCTTTCGAAGAAAATTGAAGGATCTAAATTCTCTGCCCTTGCATATAGTGTCTTGGAAACAGACAATCAAGAAGAGTCTGTTTTATATGGAAAGATTCAGAAATCAACTAAGCCGCTCTTTGAACGACTAGATCAATATAAGGAAGACACAACATTGAATTCTAGAAATCCTAATGTCTATAAAATTACCCCTGAAATGGAATCGATTCCTTGCAAGCCATTATTCTTTGATTTGGCTCTAAACTTTGTCGAATTCCCATCATTGGAAGATAAGGTTGAAACAGCTGCAAGCAAAAAAGCTACCACTGGTTTGACAGGCTTTGTAAAAGGATTCCTTGGATTTGGAGGTGAAAAGAAGTAAAGGGTTTATTCTATTATTTTTGTTGTTATACCTCCTTTAAATTGAATAATAAAATGACATTCATTTTTCCACAAAGATCCATACTATTTTTATTGAGCAGGTCAGATATTTGCTTTGTCTATCCATTCACAATAGAATTACACTTTTAAAATCTTCTACAGTAAAAATAATAATAGACATAGAACATAAACTTTTTTTTTGAGCCATCCATTCACTAAACTATTGCCATACATACATAATACTTAATACAATGAATATAACGTAAATGCATTGGCAGTACTAAATTAGAAATCAATCAAGTCATGTCAACGAGATTGAAAAGTGTAATTAAGTAAATTGATTATTTCATTCCAAAGACAATTATTATGTGATTTAAAAACTAAGTACTATTGATAAAGGTCCTTAAATTAATTAAAAATACTTTCTAAGCTTTCAATACGTAAAAGTTGAACACAAAAGTTCTCGAAATAAAAAATGTAAAAGCTTTTTGGAATGTGATGGAATGTTGGTTGATTTTTTTTTTTGTCTGTTTTTGTTTAAAGCTTGTCTTTGGCAAGATTAACATTTTATAAAATTGCAAGGAATCCTCGAAATTGGTCAGTATATTATACATCAATAAAGATGTTATTTAAGTACCCACGCTGTTTAAACTCCTTCATTATTTCTCTTACACGTATATGATATTCTTGACTTTTCATGCCTGCCATAATTTCATCATGCTTATCGGAATCATTTAGAGAATTGAGAAGAGAGTCTATATCCTTTACATTTGCAACGAACGTTATCGCTGGCAATACCCACAGTGACATCCCCAGTCCAAAAAGTGATCGTCTTGCAATTTCCTGCTTTATACTTTCGGTTGTATACATTTCCTCAAGTTCAGCCAACTCACACGAATAACTTCCTTTCAAATGCTCACGCAATGTATCAATCAATGAATTACGATAAATGTCAATCAATTCATCCAAGTATTGCTGTCTCATTTTATATTTTGTACTTGAAAAAATTACCATCAAAATATCACATACTAAATTACTGTATCGGAGTGTCTGCAAGTCCACAAACTTGGCATAATTAACCCTTCCATTTTTTCCGTAATGAAACATGATATTATTAGTCCAAAGGTCGCCATGAACTATCACATTCCATTTATCCTCACTATTCGTCACGTGATTTCTCATTATGTTAAACAGTTTCGGTCCTTTAAGTTTCTTCAAAATTTTTACTGTCGAATCAAATTCTCCTTTCTCATTTGATTCATGTGACAAACTTGTTATGGCTTGATTCAATGAATAATCCAATTGTTGACTGTAGAATTCAGCTGCATCTTCAATAAAAACAATCTCTTCTATGTATTGAACAGCAGTTGAAAAAGTTTTTGGTTCAATGATTTTCATTGCCAATGAAAGTCCATGAAAGTTTGCAAGTTCCTGTGTAGTATATTGAGTTAAAGCTTTTATATGATGTTAACCTTAACTTTTTACTTACTTTCATAACGATTGACGAATGTTCGAAATCAAGTCCATCCAGTCTGTCGACCATCCTTAATCCTTCTTTTGCAAGATCGTCCATTGCAATTATTTCTCCTTCCTTGTCACATCCAGCAAAATAGTGATTTGGTAGTGGAAGATTATTGTTTGAAAACCTTTTCAATGCTGGAACCACATGACAATATGCAGTTATTTCATTTTTGAAGGCTGCATCGCATCGAAAAAGCTCTCGTCGAGCTTTGTCTTTAATGTGTCTCTTTACAATTAAGCTCAAAGGTTGAACTGGAAATATAAAGAATGCGGTGTTAATTTATGGACTTATGTAATGATAAAATCTAATATTCCAAAAAACTTAATTTTAAAAGCTTTTGACACTAAGGGGGTTGATTTGATCTTAATGGAAATATGTTCTTCTGTTTTAAACAGTTTTGTTGCTGTAATGCGGTTTTGGTTAACAAATATTAGTTGAAAGATGATATTTAGCTTGTTAAAACGTTAACAAAACATTCTACCTTTTTGTGATAATTTCTGCCTACAAGAATGCAAAACTATTCTGTTAGCAAATGTCCCACGATATAAAATCTTGTTTTTCAAAAATTCAAATGCACAAAATATCATTCCATTAACATAATGGTTTTCTCATGTCATTAAAGTTTCCGTAGAACATCTTCATAATATTCTTAATATTCTTGAGAACTTGTTTAAATATTTCGTTTTAATAAATGCATGTGATGACCATTTCCGAGTTCCGAGAATTATCAATAATATAAAGATTGATGCTGTTCTGATAATTCTGATAACCTTGATCATAAAAACAATGTTTACTTCCATAGATCTCGCTAAATAATTCCTAATCTTAATTATCCCTATGAAACTCAATTTTCGTAACCTTATTCAATAAATTAGAATAAAAATCACAGCGGCATGTGTGGCAATCTGATCACTAAGTCAGATCACAAAGCTTCTCATGTTTTTCATATCAAACACTTATAAAGTCATAAAAAGCGTGGTTAATTTACAATTTTAAGCCATAAAAGATGCATAAATTTGCAAAGGACGCTACAGTATTTACGATCTTACTTAGAAAGGAAGATGCGAGCAAAAACAGATCCATAAAAAATAATTTGAATATTTTAGATGCTTAAAGGTTCGTCAACTTATACTTAGCATCTTGTCCAATGGTAAAAAAATCTCACACGAATATCCAACAATATTAACATTCAATGAGCGGCAAATGTAGAAGGAGAAAAACAAGCTACTCACTCAAAAAAAAAAAACGAATTGATACTTTGTTGTAGTATCATTAGTTTAATATTGTTGTGACGCAGAATATCCTTCAAAATTTAAAAATATAATTTCGGTCATTCACCAAGAAGATATTATAATTAAGACAGGTGGTTTAGTGTCTACAAATGTCTCAACGTAAACAATATTATCTCAGTTTTTTTATTCAGCATTCTTCAAATGTAGATGCTATGATTCTTAAGAAAATATTTCAATACTAATGAGGATTCATCAATTACCGATTTGAATATTAATATGAGAATCTTTTTAATCTGCACACTCGCCAGTCAGAAGGGGTTGAATTTTGTTTTTTACGACTAAAATATTTTAATTGTAGCAAATGCAAATCATATTTTTATGGATCTGATGTTCTCGAGCAATCTCGAAATGCATATCACTAGAAATGCCATGATCAGAGGAAAATTTGAATAGCTTAATTGGGGATCAAGAATTTATTATATAAGAACTCTTGTGAAGTGATCCGAACCCTCTCCTCCCTCTTTGGCTACGCCTATACAGTACAAAAATAATAAATAATATCAAATCGAATTGAACTCGTGTTAAATTGATAAAACATTCTTGTCCAGTGTTTGATTTTAGGCTTGATATCAAAAACCTCTGAATATCCTTTAATCCTTTAATAATTTTATTAGTATATATATTTAAAATATTTTTTCATTATTCCCTAGTAGTCGAGGGGCATCTAAATGATGTTTACTCACAAGAGCTATCTCTTCTCAGATGCAATTATGCAATTTTCAATTAAAATTGCTGACAAGAAATTTATTAGATTTTTAGAATGCGTGACAAACACTGAGATTGTAGTGCATATGTATTTCATTAACGTACACATATCATAGTAGTTTCTTTCATTGGAACTATTATTATTACTTCTGTCACTTGAAATTTAGGATGCATCGCAAGTGACAATGATATTGACCCGATTTCTAATCTAAATTAATAACTTTTTATTGCTTTCATTTTCAATGCCTTGCAATGCGTAATACGTTGTTTATTTATCACTATCAATAAGTTTCGTAAGGGGCTGTTCACTTATTACGTAACGCGAAAAAATTACTTTTTAGACCCCCCCCCCCTCGTAACAAAATTTGTATGAAAAAAAAATTTCCTTGTTTGAACCGTAACAAAATCTTAGACCCCCCTCCCCCCTAAAAGCGTTACGTAATAAGTGAATGGCCCCTAAGATCTCCGTTCTAGTTTATTATTTTTTTTTTATTTTTTCGTAATCGATTTGAAATTTAGGCATTTCACTTATCTATGAGGTTCACACATTTATTATCAAGGTTTTTAGTTCACTCAAATGTTGTAACAATCAACTTACATAATTTACCGCCAGCTTCATATTCGACAATAATTCTCTTTACCACCGACATGTAGTTGTCACCGTCTTTGGAGCCAGAGATACATTTCATTTTTAAAACACGTAAATCGTTATCGCTAAAGTATCGTTTTAAAATTTCTTCAATGGTTTTATATTTCTCATTGAACTCATTAAGCTGCTCGATATCTTTCTCATCATTCACTAACATGCTGCCCGTCAAATATTTACTTCTGATTTTGATTTGATTTTATGTAGTAGGCACTAGCTTTGATTTTGAATTTGTAGATTGTTAGGAGAACAGGTTGATATGCTTTTAAATCGTCACTATAAATAATCTTGAAAATTCTATTCTTAAAGATTATGCTGATTTTGCGTTTTAAACATTTGTGGCACGTTTATTAAAATTATGTCATTAATTTTTCACCACTGCACTTTTCAATTATATCTTGTAAATGTGTAAAGAAATATTTTCGTGATAAATAAGAATTAATTTTGGTGATTGATTATTTTTAAAGCAATAAAAATAATATTTTTTGTTCCCCTAACACAATTCAAATCACTGCCAATGATTGGAAATACGTTCGAAGCTATCAAAAACAAATTGCATACTAACTCAGACTTGCTATATTATTTTTTCTTTTATGCAACTTAAAAGAGCTCTTGTCTCAGTGGCGATTCTCTGAGTGAATTGAGCTTTTTCGGCCTTTGAAATTTACGTTGTGATTTAATTATGCTTATCCTTACAGAAATAAATCAAAATTTCAGTTACAACTTTCGAGTTGTCAGTGACTTTTTGTACTGAGCTAGTATGCAACTTTGTTTCAAGTAATTTCAGCACTAGAAAGCACTTTTCCAAATAGGATGTTTACTATTCAGAGTTTGATGAGCACATGAGAAAGTATGAAGAAAAGTGTTTACATTTTATAGAATTTTTTTTGGCGCGAAAAGTTTATTCCTTCTATACAAATTCTCACGTGAAGTTTCACGTTTAAGTTGCATGTGATACGACAATACGAAACAATCTCCAATCCGAAGAATTACCCACGTTCGTGTTTTTACGTCGAACTGTCTACCTGTGTAAATAAACCAATGATTTTTCATAGTGTAAATGAGAAAAATCTAAACACATATTGGAATTTGAGAGATTTTATTATGAATGAAAATACCCTTTTCTTAGGTATCTATACATTCTCTCATCGTGTATTAGTTACTCATTCATGTCGATTGCGGGTTTTACAGTAACCGATATGGTTATGCACTATGATTGGTGATCATAATTTTGAGGTGGTGTTACGGTCACATTTGTCATATATACATTTATTATGTTGCAAGTTCTCTTATGTTAAAAAGGACCAACCTATTGCAGAAATCAAGAGAATTCAGCATTGTATAGAATAATTCTATCCAATAAACGATAAGACCTTGACAAATGCAACAATGAGCTTTGAGTGTTAAACATTTTCTGCACGTTTCGATTCACAAAATATGACCAATGAATGTATTCCAGTTGAATGACATGTCATTCATAACCTTGAATATTTTTTTGGCTATTAAAATGCCTCTAATACAAAGGTACCAATTTTCATATATGAAAATGTGCTCTTGAAATACAAATACATTTTTCATCGAATAAAGATTCATTCATTGTTTTATCAAATAATAACACTCGAACTGATATAATTTAAAATAAATTCCATTCAATTGCATAAGCGTGGAAGTAAAAAAAGTCAAAATTTATACATTAATATTTATAATTTGTTGGAATCAAGGATCAAAGCTTACCTTTCTTCTTGAATGTATTAGAATATGTTGGCTGATGTTTTAGTGTTAGAGAAAAGCTCTAACCTTAAAAAGCATTTCAAGGTGTTCTAGCACTTTGAAATTAAGAAGCTTTCAAGTTTTTTTGAACTCCTGGATTCTGAAGAATCCATGAATCATAAAGCTTGATGACGTTGCTCTTTGAGCTTTTGTTAATGAAGTTTCAAGACTCAATAGAGCAATTTTCGAAGGATGCTCATGAAAACGAATAGTTATGTCCTTTAGAATTTACTAAATAGCTATTAATACTTGTGAAATATTTTTCTCGAGTTATGTAATACAATTATTACTAAGGAGATTAATTTGTAGGTTTAGAAATGCATCGTTGCAGCATTTATAGCAGAGCTCATAAAAATTTCTTCATCTATGAAGCAAGTGTCATTTTATCAACCTATTAAAATTTTAGGTCAGCTTATGACAAACTGATACTGAAAATTGGGGCAAGTTTTAGTGCTACTATTTTATTATGTGTATAAATAATTTTTTTTTTATTTTCGTAACTTGAAATAACAAATTGATGAATAGTGATTGCATTATGGACGAATAAAATGCTGAGTATTAAAATTTTTGAAACTACTTTATTTGCTAAAAGATGATAGATTCAATATTTACAAACTGGTATAAAACTATCTACTCGTAAAATATTTCTTTGATTTTATGATATTTTTAAATAATTACTGAATGAGTCATCAACCTATAAAACTAGTAATTCCCTACGAGTCACGTTTCTGGAGTAAAAAATATATTTCCTTGACTTACTTACATCACGGTTAAGTTTTTTATTACTTTTAAACATTTTTTAAATTCCACAAACTTAATTTTAAACACTCAAAGGCTATTTACATCAAACTTGAAAGTTACTAAATGAGTTTTTCCCACAATAAATTCTACTTCAATACCAAAAATTACTTCTTTTTTTTTTTACAAATTTCAATCCTTAAAATTAATTAAGGCTTTGAGTGAGCTTTCTGATTTGAATATAATCCGATTAAATATCACTTTTTATATTAAAAGAGAACGAGTAATTGTTACATTCGAATTTAAATTATTTGCTGACTATGTAATTTTTATGTCCTCGGATAAATTGATGATTCTTTTATCCTTCTAAAATCCCTCAATTTATGCATTTTTGATTAACAATGATTTAGTATTCAATTCAATCGACAAGCTCTATTAATAATTTAGTTTACTGAATTTCTCAATGACTGCACGTCGATTCCTTCGCCTTCGACTGTATTATTTCCCGGTTTCTTATAATTTGCATTGAAGAATGCTAAGGATTTCATCAATTGATAGCTCTTTGATACAGGCAAGTTTGAGTCGTAGAGTGTTTGGCTACTTTTACAGTCAGTATAGAACCACCAATTACATTTCAATATAGTCTGATCAAAAAGTGTACTTTCCGGACATAAAAATGACTTCATAATAAGACCATCGTCTGTTAATGCACATACATGGAACACCTGAGAAGGAAAGAAAGAGATAGACAGAAAGGTGAATTCAATTATTTGGATATAAACTTTCAATGACTTTTGTTGAACATATTAGGGGCCTGTTTACTTATTACGTTACGCAAAAAAAAACCTTTTTTCACCCCCCCCCCCCTCCTCCCCCCCTTGTTACAATATGTTACAACTCACACCCCCCCCCCCCCCCCCCCTGAACGTTCATAATTTCATTTTATTTCTTTTAAATCTAAAAAAGACGGTTAAATTTCCTTTGTATTTTTTTTTCTTAAACATCAAAATACTGTATAGCTTAATAGGTCATGTTTTGATTGATACTATGAGTATTCTCATGAATTATTGGATTAAGATATAAAGCAAAAATTTGTTTTTTTTTGAAGAAAATTCAAAAATTTCATGAAAAATATTATGCCCGATCGAATTTTGGAAAATTCAATCAACTTTGAATGTAAATATCACAATGATGGGATCATATTAATCATCATATGAATGACAGATTTAGAGAGATTTACTTTTAAACTTATGATTGATTTAATTTTGAAAATTTCCACAAATTATGATTGTATTTTAAAGTCTTGTAAACCAGTTTTCTATTGATTTCTTACTATATATAACAAAAACTATGTATTGCTTAGCTATCAAAACAGATCTGGACATAAATCATTAAAGAGGTGTGAATTTGTAAGACAGATGACAGTTAGAACGTTACATACTTCTTGACTACCCCCCCCCCCCCCCTATGTTACATTGTGTTATAATTTTTCAACCCCCCCCAAAAATGCGAACGTAATAAGTGAACGGCCCCCTTAGCCTTTTCAAATAATTTGATAAAGCTATTTTGAAATAATGCAAAGTAATTCACAGCAATAATGTTCAGTCCAATCCTCAATAAAACTTGTATCTTTTGGTTAAACATGTTCTCCAATAGACTATCTTTAAAATGTATCTCACAGAGGTGTTGAGAAGTTAATGAGTAAATTCCATATCTTACCATGCACGCCAAATCTTCATCAGCATATAATCCAGGGAAATGTTTTTGATCTCCACAATGAAACGATGTTGATGGTAAATCAACCTTTGATCTAAAGTTATCGTCAAAGTTTTTGTCATAACCCGATGGATAATACTCTTTTGGTGCATTCATCACCTTAAAAAAAGAAGCATAATTGAATGTCATTGATAATAAAGATAAGTAAATATCATTAATCACCTTATGACCCTTCGTATATAAATATTTAGTAACTTTTTTCTTTGGTGTTGTCTGAGGAATGGTTGGTGTAACAAATTTAGTTGTTTTTTGTGTAACTGTCGATAACTGAGTGACACTTTCTGTTGGTAAAGCAGTCTTCCTTTTCGTAAAATTATTTGTGTAGTATTTTTGAGCACTTTTAATTTGTTCTTGACGAATTTTAATTGCAGCTTTGATCACATCAACTGTAACATTTGCAAACTCTGCCAATTCCTCGATCGTGTGACCTTTTAAATCAATTTGTGGAAGTGTTTCAACATCCTCTTTATCTTGAGTTAAAGCTTGCGCATTGATCTTTAAGATGGATTATGTGAAAGCATTATAAAAAAGCTATTATTATCATAAATCTCGATTATCTACCTTGAAATGATCTTCACCGATTCCTTTAAAAGAAGGTACCTCACTCAATGAGATTTGATTGCCATAATTGAAATTTTGTCGGTCATCATTAACATTTTGGGTATTTGACTAGAAAGAAAGAAGATGTTTATGATTGACATAAAAATCAAAGGTTAAAGTTTAAGATGAGCAATTAAATCAGTGTGAATTATGACTTCATGAGCTTGTGCATGGATATTCAGTGTTATTTATGAATTAATGTATTTACTCGGATGTAATGAACATAGTTATTGTGTTTCGATCGATTTGAATAAACTTTTAAAATTTTATCTTTTACTTGTAATGTTTCCGATGGTATTGGCTTGAATGGCGGCACCGCTGAATTGCCAGAAGATAATGACTTTTTTTGTGAAATTTAAAAAAAATAAAGAATAATAAAATTAAGTGTCAATCATAATTATAAAGGAAATAATGAAAAATAAAATTGAGTGATTTACAGTATCATGTGTCAAATATGGAGATCTTCGAAAACCATGTGGTGAAGAAACAACAGGTCTCTGTAGTGTTGATTGGTATTGCAGCATCTGATGTTGTGAAGTCACTGCCTGTGGCAGACTCTGCTGTATTTTCGGCGTTGGATTCTGAAATATTTTTGTAAAGAAATTAAAAGTTCAATCTGATAAGTTACGGTCGGCACATTTTCAACATTCCAAAGATGCAAATGATCAGTATGGCATCAATGAAAACTAATGTCAAGAGAAATTAATGAATTATTCACAATTTATCATGTAATACTGTAGTAATATTAAGTAGTCTCTGTTGTCAACTTAAAGACACTAAGAAGCTATTCATAAGCATAAGACTCTCTGCCAAAAAAGGCATGTTTTGTTTTTATTCGACATACCTTCATTAATAATAGGCATTATGAACAATAAAAAAATGAGGTAAAATTCATTATGATTGCGGAGACTTAATCAATTTGCAGTCATTAATCGCTGTAATATTATAGACAATGCTGATTTTGTTGAAAAAAAAAGTCAAAGTTTAATTCAAGAAGAGTCTAAACATTTGATTAGATAATGCCTGCGAGCATTTTTCGACGTTTCATTAACCCATGAATTTCTATTGTTTATGCCTTGCGTTTTTACTGAAGCAGTAAATTAACTAATTGACAAGCAATAGTAATCATTAAAAGGATTGAAATCATGACTACAAGCCAAGGTCGTTTGTCTATAAATTTGTCTTTTCAGTCACAATAATGTTAATATATTCAATTATAACACGTTGAACGGAACTTACGTTTGGCGGTTTGGCAACTGGCTTGCCAATGGCATTTGAACTAGTTTTTAAATTTAAAGCTCTCCTTCTGCTTCCTTCTACATTTCCAAGTGACTCGGGAAATCCAAGCTCATCTCCTAAACTAAAACCTTGTTGGACAGGATAAAGCATGTATGAATTAATGTCCTTTAAATGTTAATAAATTGGTGCCTATAATAAGCAAAATTTCTTCACTCTTAAAATTATGAGTAATCATCATCATTAATCTTCATTTGTACAATGCTTTAAATCATGTTGTTAATAATTTTGTCAGTTTCAAGCAAGCCACAATAACTAACACGTTGTAATTGTTGATATTCACATTAAATAAATATTCGGTTTTATTTGTGGTTTTTTACAATGTGTCAATGCGAAAATAGAGTCCAAAGTAATGAGATGTAGAGTAATTGATCAATTATGAGGAATATTCTACATTAAGCTATGACTTAAATTCAATTTTACAGATCAACAAAAAGTATTTTTTTCATTATTTGAATTATTACAGGTTAATAAGATTGTATGTATGTGTAATTGTCTTAATTCTTGAATGGCACAAAAATTCTGATGCTGAATAAGAAGCTAATTTGATTTGAGTGGTTTAGCCAGTTCTAAAAATAAATCTTATACAATTTTATGGGCAAAAAAGTTTTTTAAAGGTTTACATTTTAAACTTAATCACTTTTATAAACACTCTAAGGTAAAGCTAGATGCATCAATTCTAGATGAAGGACTAATCAAAGATCTAGAATTGGGATATAAACAGTTTACAAAACTAATGTTTAATTTATTTTACAGACTTTCTATTAAATTAGATTCAAGCGATTAGACTCAGGTGTTGATTACGGTTGTAACTCAAGATGTAGCTACCAATTAAGTTAATTATCTGTGAAATTTTACAAACGACTCAATTATTTCCTCAAGTAGACTAGAGTGTTCCTTTTAAAAATGCTGTAATTCAATCCATGTTTAATTCATCGAATTTCATTTAATTTTTCATATTGTCGATCGGTCTAGACGCAAGCAAGTCGATCAATTTCAGACAATAGAGACTTTTGAAAGCTTCACTATCAAAAATCAAAATTGACGAAACAAGAATGGCATAATTGATCTATTCTCATACATCAGCTAAACAAAAGTAAACGAATTTTTTGGACTATAAGACATAAATGTGATATGATCATGTTAGATATCCGATTTTAAAAGCTATTAACAAATTTCCACTGGCATACATCCATCAAAATGTTACAAAATGGCAACACTAAATTCATCAAACTGCTTCCAGTAATTTTTGTGCAATTAAGGATTAAGCTAGGATTAAACTTAAATATCTACAGTTTAATAATTAGTGCGATACATTAAACAAAGAAGATCAAGTCATTACGAATCATGGTTGCATTGCTATTAACATACATGCTTAATGACTTTTTCACATGTGCACGCGATTGTTATTAAGATTTTCATTGTTAAACGGAAGATGATAGTCAAGTATATAACAACAGAACATTTAATATTACCTAAACCAATATACGCTTTAGCGCCACCTAAATTTCTAACTCGAAATAATCCAGACTTTTTAAAGTTACAGTTTATGGCAAACCCAAAATCTGATTCTAGAACGCAGGTACATTGTATTTTGTTGATAGTGCCTAAGGAAATGAAAGTAAAATTACATAATAATGTTAAAAAGTTGTGAATCATCTTTAACGTACGTCCGTCTATGTGTCACAGTATTCAGTATTCAGTTCCGGATATCATAAATAATATTTATAGTCTTTTTATATTTTTTGATACAGTCTCAAGAGTTTGGGTACCTAAATAATAAGAAATTCATTTGTTTAGATGATGTTGCATTTTGTCGAGATTGTCGGGAACTAAATCGTGATTCGTGTCTTAAGGAAATGAAGTGAAATTATACGGTGTGTTAATTTCTTATTATATGCTTAGTACTAAATAGGTAAACATGATGTCATCTTGATGATTAAATTACATGCGAGGAACACCGACGAATTTCTAGAAAATCTTTGCAATTGAATGAGCAATGAGCATCCTCTACTTTGTGCATTCAAAGTATATGATTTCTGCATAGTTTAAGTCTAAAAAGGCTAGCTAATATGCAAATGCTTCACTTATAGACTTTCATTTTTAAATCCAGCTTCACATCTTTGATCTTCATAAAATAAAATTAATTCAATATTCATCAATATCCATAAAAGATGTTGTTGTGTACATCAAAATTTCATTGAAACACAAAGTTATTTGAATGCACGCAAAAAATAAAAGAGAAATCAAGAAGAGCTTACAAAACGTTAAAATCATTGTTCGGACGGCGACTTTTTGGAACAAAGAATTCAAATTTTCTATTTATAGCCATTTATTGTGTGTGAGTTTTCCAATTCGGGCTGTATAAAGCAAAGATTATCGTTTTTGAGTGGCATTTAATCAGCAACCGAATGTCACTATGGAATTTAAGTACCCCAATTTGGATAAACATGAATTTGTGAATTTCAAATTAAACTATGCCTTAAATTAATGTAAACAGCATGAAAGATCAATTTCAACGAAAAGCATTGCAAACAATCGTCGCGACACTGTGGCTTGTTGAATCTTTGAATGTTAAGTCAACATTGATATAATATTTACATTATTTTTAAGATGATATTTGCATAGCTAATTGGACTCAGTTGAATTGCCTAATTGAGAGTGAAAGTGTTGAGAATTTGCTGGATTTTGACAGACTACACAGTTGTTTGCTGTAAATTTATCAGATTTGAGATAATTTTCTGAAGTTTAAGACAAATCATTGTAAAAGTTTTACGAAAGCATGTTCAGAGCATATCGTCATAGATTCCAATTTTTATCATTTTAAGTAGATTATAATATTAAATAAAAAGAGCGGAAAGTTTTGTATGCAACAATGGTAACAGTAAATTGAAACTGTTTCTTTAGTTTCGAGCTAATAAAATTTATTTACAGCACAAGATAATAAAACTACTGCTAAATACAATTAAATTAATGTTCAAGAAATTTCTTGATTTTTTTTTAAAAACATGTCCTTAAAACATAAAAATATTCAGTACATATATACATATCCAATTTTATGTTCATTTGATTATTTATAAGGTTGTGCATGATATAGATTAATTAATGAAATGTTCATACTCACTTATAAAGTAAAGAAGCAGAAGAATAAAATTTATTGCTATGTGCTTCATGTTTTTTTAGACTATTCACTAAGCACCCAGTTTTACAAGCTTCTTGTATTATTCCTTTCGATTTTATTAATAACTTTATTTATAGATTGTCTGGAAGCACTCTTTCGATGCTCTCTCATAATATCACTTCACTCTTGATTTCTATTCATTTATCACCTCATTTCAAATTAGTTTGTTGATGTTTTGGTTCACTTTTTGATCAATAAATTTATTAGGCAATCTTTAATATTGTTTGTCAAGGCTTCAACACTTAGGATTAATCCCATAAAATTTAAACTTTAAAATTTTATTAAAAGCTGTTATTTCTGCAGATAGCTAAGGTATGAGATGTTTGTTGTTCAAAGTCCAGTAAAAGACTGAATAAATTTATTTGGAATTAAGCTGCAATGAATATTTTTTTGGAATTAGAAATGACCGATTTAATCTTCGGTTCATCATTTCCTATTTTTTTTTTTTTTGAATTTCAAGCTTCAATCCAAAGTGCTTAGCCTTGATGTTTTGCAAACATATTTCCACATATCATTATCAGCGCATATTCTTGAATAACTTTAATTATATATCGATCGACACGCAACAGATGATCTTGAACAATCTTACATTTTTACGTTCTTGCTACAATTTTCTCATCGAATTTAATGATAAAATGCAGTTCAATAATAATTATTGACTTGACACAGACACAAACAAAATTTCCAGAAATTTCAAAACCCGATGCACTTAAAGAACTTCATTTAAAATTCTTGGAAATTATTCTACCTTACAATGATTTTATTCTATCCTTATCTGTGATTTTCTAAATTATTATTAGCTACTGTAAACCATTACTCGCATTAGAAGCTTAAATTTTCTAAGAACAAACAAAAACCGTTACTAAACAAAGCACTAATATATGCACGAATAAATTATTGATCTTGAATACAACATGGAATAATATATTTTTTTTAAACTGTTTTAACACACCAATAAGCTGAGCTGTGTATTTAATTAATTTGTTATTGAGAAAAAAAAATATTAAGTGACCACAAATAGGCGAATTAAGTGTATATACTCGATCGCTTTGAGGTGCTACATTAAAAATGCACCTGATCTACTCGATTGTTGCCGTTTAACTGAATTCATGTTTCTCTTACATTCACTTTTTGGCAGTGCGAATACGTTTTAACTGTAGCTGAGAAGAAATATTGAATGAGTAAAATATACTCAATGCAAGAGAGTAAAACAATGTTGAAGAGGTACTTGAAGCTAATGGATATAGAGCGTATTATCTCTACTGATTGATGAAGCTTACTTTTTTAAGTCTTAAATGATCTTTAGTTTCAAGTTTTTGTTTTTGGGAATAAATCGTATTTAAGATTCTAAAAGATGTTCTCCTGGAATAAAGTTTCTTCAAGGATATACTTAGGATGTGGACAAGAGCAATCCTTGGGCTAAAGAATATATTACAAATTGCATTATTTGTTAAGTTTCTTCACTTTTGTCCTGTATTCTTCAGATAAATTCTTCAATTTTTTTCTAATGATAAGTTTAAAGAGTCCTTTAATTCTGATGTTGATCCTTTAAAGCATAGATGGAAAACAAAATATTTTTTCAAATTAATCTTTTATAACAAGAGTTAAATCGAGTCAAAATATCTAATGGGATGATTGATAAATTCGCGTGTGGTGGATGCTTGTTCATGAATTTAACCTATCAAGCTAAATTGATTAAAAAGAAGACCTCAATCTAGAAATCCTTAAATGAAGCTACCCTAAAATGCAGATAGTACTGCCAATATGCAGATGGTACTGCTAAAGCGCAGATGAAATTTATTTTCCCTAAAATGCAGATGAAATGCTGTTGCTTTAAAAAAGGTTTAATGCAGATGATTTTTATCGTATAAAGTGCAGATAAGATTCTGCCCAAATGTAGATCGTATAATTTTATTAAAATACATCATATTCGATGACTTTTTTTTCATACGTGTTAATAAAAAAAAATTCCATACAAATTTTCACCTTAAAGTGATTTAAAATCCCAAAAAAATCCCCATACAAAATGATTTAAATCATAAATCAAAAATAAATCACTTGGGTAATGTTTGCAATGTATTCAAAAATGCATTTTTGTTTTTCTGAACTTTTTTAATAACAAAACTAGTTTATCGGGTAGAAACCCAATGCGGATATATTCGCACCGTACCATCAAAAGTCTTGTGGAAAGACCAAGCTTAGCTCAGTATTAATTTGAAAGTATAAATCCTGACGAACCAGTTGAGCTGTGCTCAGCATATGTTTGGAGGTTTAAAGCTTAACGAGCATTCTTTAAAGTTTTTTAAAAACATTTTTCATCCAAAGTTAAAATTAATTTTATAAAAATCACAGTCAACTTTTGTTTTAAAAAATTCGTAAGAAAAGAAAGTTTTTTGCTTTTTCTGAAGCAACGACTGTTCCTACCTTGCCCAAAAACTATACAGCTATTCTATAGAGCAGCACAGATCAAATGTAAAAAAATAGAAGTCTCTACGATGTCTCGTTATTGAGATTTCTTGCTGATTAACTTGCTTGTTTGCTTGCTTACATAAAGCGTATTTTGCGATTTTCTCAGCAATGCCACAACCAATTTGAAATCTATTTTTTGAAAGTGATGTAAAATTTCAGGTACAAACTTTACTTCTGAAACTTTTTATATTCACACCGTTTTCACATGTGAATCTATTGGTTTTGTTCAGATTGAAAAATCAGTTTTTTGAATTTTGTGAGGATATGGAGCAAGATAGCTTAAAATGTTCAGAGATGAAAAGTTTGTGTCTGGAATTTCACATCTTTTGCAAAAAACAGATTTCGCAAAATACGTTTTCTGTAAGCAAGCAAACAAGCAAACAAGCAAGTTAATCAGCAAGAAATCTCAATAACGAGACATCGTAGAGACTTCTAGTTTTTTACATTTGATCTGTGCTGCTCTATAGAATAGCTTTATAGTTTTTGGGCAAGGTAGGAACAGTCGTTGCTTCAGAAAAAGCAAAAAACTTTCTTTTCTTACGAATTTTTTAAAACAAAAGTTGACTGTGATTTTTATAAAATTAATTTTAACTTTGGATGAAAAATGTTTTTAAAAAACTTTAAAGAATGCTCGTTAAGCTTTAAACCTCCAAACATATGCTGAGCACAGCTCAGCTGGTTCGTCAGGATTTATACTTTCAAATTAATACTGAGCTAAGCTTGGTCTTTCCACAAGACTTTTGATGGTACGGTGCGAATATATCCGCATTGGGTTTCTACCCGATAAACTAGTTTTGTTATTAAAAAAGTTCAGAAAAACAAAAATGCATTTTTGAATACATTGCAAACATTACCCTAGTGATTTATTTTTGATTAATGATTTAAATCATTTTGTATGGGGATTTTTTTGGGATTTTAAATCACTTGAAGGTGAAAATTTGTATGGAATTTTTTTTATTAACACGTATCAAAAAAAAAAGTCATCGAATATGATGTATTTTAATAAAATTATACGATCTTCATTTGAACAGCATCTTATCTGCACTTTATACGATAAAAATCATCTGCATTATACCTTTATTAAAGCAACAGCATTTCATCTGCATTTTAGGGGAAAATAAATTTCATCTGCACTTTAACAGTACCATCTGCATCTTGGCAGTACTATCTGCATATTAGGGTAACTGCATTTTAGGGATTTCTAGATTGAGGTAAAAAGAAGATGCAAGTCAAAACGATTGCAAATACTCACATCTTGCACAATTGCTGCTAAAATGCTCAATTCATGGAGAAGCATACTTAATTTGAATATCTGCAATAAGCCATGCAAACAAAGAAAGTATGTTGACATAAATATGTGTTTATTTAAAACAATTTTCAAAGTCACGAAAGTACAAAATGATCATTCATTTAAAATAAATTAAATATATTCAATAAATTACTAATAAAACCTAATAAATACACAAAAAAAATATTAAGCATCTGAGAAAAGCTTTATCACCGAAAATCTGCAAATCATTTTAGCGGCTTTTGACTAGCATGACAAATCTTCAAAACTTAATTATTATTGCTGGTCGAGAGGTGTTACAATCAATACATTATCATCAGTTTTAAGGCTATCATTGACAATCTCTACTGTTTCATTAGATGGCGTTTTGTAATTTTTCGAGAAAAATGAAAGGGATTTCATCAATTGATAGCTTTTTGATACAGGCAAGTTTGAGTCGTAGAGTGTTTGGCTACTTTTACAGTCAGTATAGAACCACCAATTACATTTCAATATAGTCTGATCAAAAAGTGTACTTTCCGGACATAAAAATGACTTCATAATAAGACCATCGTCTGTTAATGCACATACGTGGAACACCTGAGAAGGAAAGAAAGAGATAGACAGAAAGGTGAATTCAATTATTTGGATATAAACTTTCAATGACTCTTGTTGAACATATTAGCCTTTTCAAGTTTTTGAATAAAGCAATTTCAAAATAATGAAATAATGCACAGCAATAATGTTTAGTCCAACCCTCAATAAAGCTTGTATCTTTAATTACACATGTTCATAAATTGATTTTTGGGAAGATACAATAGGAAATAAGAAGCAATAGATTGGATTTACATATTTATGAACATCCATAAATAATTAAGAGACTGTGGATTACAATCTTGAGAAGGTTTACATCTTTAGTAAAGCTTACCATGCATCCTAGTTCCTCATCACCATATAATCCAGGAAAGTGTTTCTGATCTCCGCAATGGAAGGAAGTGGCTGGTAAGTCAACCTTCGATTTGAAATTATCATCATAATTTTTATCATAGCCCGATGGATAGTACTCTTTTGGTGCATTCATCACCTAATTGGAATTGACATTGAACTTTTTAATGACTCATTCTCAAAAATAATTGAGCTTATAATATTCACCTTATGACTTCCTTGTAGAGGATGTTTCTTGACTTTCTTCTTTGGAATATAAGCTGATGTGCTTCTAATAAAATTGATTGTCGTTTTTGATGATTGAGTGGTACTTCTTTGCGTTGTCTTTTCGACGGTCGTTGATTGTAAAGTTGTTTGCATGGTCAACGGTTCCAAAATTTTCTTCTTATCTGCAGCAGATTGTTGAATTTTCTTCTCCACAAGCATTTGTTGTTGACGCAATTTTATGGCAGATTTAATAGTCTCAACACTAACATTAGCAACTACGGCTAATTCCTCAATTGTATGACCTTTCAAGTCAACATTTGGTAAATCTTCTTCAGGTGGAGATGTCTCAACTTTGGTAAGAGATTCAAACTTATTTGATGTTGACAATGGAAGTGCTTGAAAACTTGGTATAACGCTCACAACATTCACGTTGCTTGATGCTGTTTGTTCAAATGACTTTGAGGGATATGCATTTGCTACTGAGCGAATTATGTTGCTTGTTGTTGGCTGCTGCGTTGGAGTAATATACATGATATTTTCACTAGCTTTTTTGGGATCTTGAGGTAGTTTCTTAAAACGAGGGACGCCTAATGGAAGAGTCTGAAACATTTTATACAATTTAATTAACTTTTGTAATTTAAGACACAATAAATCGTAGACTTACCAGTGCTTCAGTCATTAATTGTGGTTTTTTGAAAGCTTGAGGTATTTGAGGTACTGCCATTAGTGGTCTAGAAAATCCACGATAAGGTGTCATGCGATCTGGTGCTACTGTTGCAATTTGACGCATCGGCTGGTTGTACTGTACTCCAATTTGCTTTAACAATTGAATATGAAAGTTCAAATATGAAAATTAATGCACAGAACATTGAATATCTACTTTCATAAAACTCATAAGGTCCAATAATCAAGTGAACATTAGCCAAATGATCATAGAGCTTGATAATAACTATCTGTAACCAATCTATACGATAATGCGAAATTTTAATAATTTTAGCTCCCATACATGCTTTTAATTTACATTGGTATGGACATTGAGTAAACTTCCGAACTATTTTAAAGTATAATCTACGTTCAAGGACGTGTCCACGCTCAATAATACCATTGCAGATTTTTATGCGAATTTTTGGAATGTAAATGTAAATTATTGGGGGTTGTTCAGTTGTTAAGTCCAGTTTATGGATGTAAAAGAACAGATGTGCAGGAGTGATTGAAGAGTAAGTAAAAACTTAAAACTTACAGGAAAATTTTTAATTCCAGACAAAAACTTTTTAAAACTATTTTGGGACACTAGACAGCATCACGCTATTGAGTTTGAGAATATCGAATTTGAAGAGGGTATGATGGTCAAATCATATGAGACACTTAGCTCTGCATAGATTCTAAATGTAACATTTGTGTCACTTTGGTTGTAATATTTTTTTAAATTGACGTCTTTTGTGTATTTCCACCAAAGAAGTTCGTCAGTAAAAATCATTAAGAAAAGAAACTTGTTCTTAAAAGGAATCAGACAGCAATATTTTAGCAATACCTGACATCAAATGAAGTATAAAAATATGCAATCTTTATTTGTTTTCTTTAACGGTCTTTGGCATTTTTGGTGAATCATATTTTAATGATCAGCACTGACCAACTGACACCGATTAATGCGCCGCATGGAAATTATTTTTCTTTTCTTTTGACTCAAAAAATTTCACTCGTATCATTAATATATATAATTTACTTTCGATTTCGCGCAACTCTTTTTCCATCAATTCCATTAATGACATGTTCAATATGATATTTTCTATTAACAATATCATTTTTTAATCGAATAATAAAATTTCTTCCATTGTCATTATTTACATTTTCTCTTACCGGCATTTTTTCTGGCATGTAACCGATTGAATTTCCCTTTCCCATAGTGCGAACATCCAATGATCGCTTCTTGCTTCCTTCAACATTTCCTAGCGATTCTGGGAATCCGAGTTCATCACCAAGACTGAAACCTTTTAAGATGATTAAAGCATTTTAGTCCATAATAATTATAGAGTTTTTGTAGAGGTTTAAAAATTTACATGATTAGTCTTTATAGCTTTACTTTTTACAAAAAAAAAACAGAAGAGGTATAGGATAAATATTAAATAAATTATCAAGAAATAGTTCCCAGAACCTACCTAAGCCAATATGAGCTTTAAGACCGCCCAAGTTTCTTATACGAAACATTCCAGCATTTTTAAAATTACAATTAAGGGCAAATCCAAAGTCTGATTCTAAGACGCAGATACATTGGACTTGATTGATGGTGCCTAAGAGTAGAGAGGAATAATGGATATAAAAAAAAAATTTCTTCAATATCAAAAATTTTTGTTAATTAACAATTAATAGAGTTATGAGGGTTCATGCCATTTTTTGTATACATTCTCAATATTATAGTATTTTTTATACGAGTTCATAGGAAGCAATGTTGTTTTTAATTCAATGCCTCTCAAGGTCATTCAATCCAATTCTAGCTTAACTGCTTCGAAACCTCACTTTCAATCAAAATATTTGGTGGATATAGATATTTCGATAACGTGCTGTGTATTTTCAGGTAGATTCACAATACCGAACTGTTGGCACATTTTATTTATTTACACTACTGGATTGAACAATGTACACAGCGTGATTTATCAGCTTTAAATAACAGATTTCCCATAATTGATAAATTTTCTTCCATTTATCTCTATTTCGTTATGCTTGTCAATCTACACAGCGTACGGCAACCTTTGAATTTTTACATTTTCTAATAATACTTTTTTTTCGCATTGATGGTACATGATCATAGTGCCTTTCATTTTAGCGAGTTATCTATGTAGAGCATTGGTGAGTGATTCAGCAGCATGAGGATTTTTATCTGTTCTATGAATGACAGCATATGAAGCCTATTATCAGTTCTCGATGATTGTCATAAATCTGTGACAACCAAGGATTGGTAGTATGTAACTTGTATGATTTTATCCTAATGGTTCTAGATCCCGGTTCCTAGGAAATTTAAGAAAATTTTCTATAAAGGGTAAGATTCAATAAACCATAAGACGTATGGGGTCATTCATAAATGATATCAAATAAGATTGAAGATCAGAAAAGCACTAAATACACAGAATTTCTTAAAATTTTTTTGACAAAAAGTTTGTCATTTATGAACGATCTCAAAGCATTAAATTATGTTTGCGAAACAACAAACTGGATATTATGATATCTCCAAGAAATTAGAGCGATTTGAGTTTTCAATTTAATTGAAATGCTGTTTTCTATTTTATACGTAAATGTACATGCTAGTATTAAGTTCATTTTATTTATACTTATACCTCAAAAACATGTTATTCAAAGCGTACTTCATTTCAGGGGTCGTTCATTTATGACGTGCAACATTTAGGGGGGGGGGGGGGGTCAAAAAATGTGTTACACATTGAGACAGAGAAGGGAGGAGGGTCAAGAAATTTGTGACATCCAATTTTTTAATCAGGAAATTATAAATTTTATGTCTTGGAGGGGGGGGGGGGGGTATTGATATCTGTGACAGTTTTGTGCCAGAGGTGGCAAGGGGGTTTTAAAAATTAAGTTTTTTGATGGACGTCATAAGTGAACGGAAAGTTTTCATCCATTTAAAAAAAATTCAAAGAATCCATTAAAATTTAAAAACTTGAAAACCGTTAAAAATTGATGTTTCTTGAAACGAAATTTGGTCTCGAAAACAATCATGCTGAAAAGCTCTTAAAGTGTTTGTTATTCATGCTAGGGAGGATTATGTGCTAATAACAGATAATAATATCTCGCTCAAAGATTTGTTGTTAAAATTAAAGGCTTATGTGTTATGCATGTGCTGATATCTTAGAGATAAAAAAAAATTTCACTAAAAGTGAATTTGAAATTAAAAATGGAAGAATATAATTAAGTATGTATAATTTTAGTGTTAAAGCAGTATTAACAAGGTGAAATTTCATTAACAGTAAATACATATGATGAATAAATGATATGATCTGTATCATGTATCACATGGGTTGGTTGTTAAAAAGAGCAAAAAAAAAGAGATAAATTTGTAAAAGTAGAAAGGTGAGTTTTGTGAAGCTTATTTACATAGTAGTTAACGGAAATACATAGAATATGTCGAAAAAGAAATGGGAAATCCACGAAAAGAAAGAAATGGAAAAAGAGGAAAGAATTTTTTATCAATCGAGTGAAAGGTGAATGGCAACTCATCATCAAGGGCAAACGTCTGGTTTCACTTACTGATGAAGAATAATAAGAGTAGTACGAAATTTATTGTAACGTGCTTCATTTTTCCGCAATCATATGTGGTAATAACAATGCACTTCAATGAACTTTTCAATGGAATTCTTCTCTGTTTAATTATTGCTTAATTTTATTATTATTTTTTTTTTATCTATTCTTCGACTTTCTTTTCTCTTCACTTTTATTTATATTTCTCCTCGTGTGTGAGCAACGATTTGTTTTTCTTTCATTCCAAAAAGGCAAATATCACTAGGCTATTTTGCTTCAACAGGTGTAAAGCTATATGATTGTAGAAAGTTGACAAATCACTGTAAAATTGGAATGGACATATTTAATAAAACTTGACTTTTCATCCGGTAACTTCTTCTTATTCTTTATATTATTTTATTTGTTTAAGTACCTAGATATAGGGATACCAAATACTGACTGTATGAATAATAATTGAACATTATTGAAATACGTGACCTATATTGCTCTGTTTGTTTTAAATTTATTGTCCATTTGTTTAATAATAAACTTTACAAAGAAAGTACATGCAGACTGACTTTTGTTAAGTAAGCAAAATGGACTGTAGACATATTCAATTTAAACTTTTAACGTTCTATTTTATTTTGAATATTCGGACAAAATTTTGAAAAATTTATAAATTTCAAAAATCCGTTAAAAGTCAATACTATTATGATATCCCTTATCTAAGCAGTAAACACTAATCACTAGATAAAAATGCATGATTGATTTTTTAATATGTAAGTTGCAGATGTTAATGCATAAGATCTGATGAATGAAAGAAAAAGCACATGAACAATTAACAACTTTCACTGATTTTAACACGAAATTTTATTGAATATCTGAATGGATGTTTTTTCGGAGGTAAGTTTACCGGTTGTGCTAATAAATGGACATATATGCAAAGACAGGATGAAATTTCACTTCATAAAATTTCTAATTTATTGAAATTTTAAATTTGCATAAGCAGCACAACAAGCTTTTATCACAGCAACAAAAATCAATCATGCATTCATCCAAAAAAATTTTTATCACGAAAGCACAAATTATTAGACTTAAATTACAGCACATGCCACTAAAATCACAAAAATTAAGTTCCAAAAAGATACTTTAGCCGGATGAATGATCTAAAAAGAGATATTTTATTGTCCACTTTCACGAGCACGCCTAATCGAGTGTATAGTCAGTTAAAGACTGAAAATATGAAATTAATATTTCCATCAATGTGCCTGCTTGCACCAACCACACAGTCTATATGAAAGCGCGAAATGAGCAACTTTCAGAGAAAATGTGAAAAAGAAATGGAATTTAATCAGAGAATGAGAAATGCTCTCCCGAAAAAGAAGCAAGAAGCAGCACTGAAATATATAAAATAAAATTAACATTATAATAAATTTTGTTTGTAGAAGAGAAAGACGTAAATAAATCTAATCATCATTACTCTTTTTTTGTGTGTCTTTTTTGACATTATACAATAATGCATGAGGCAGTTAACACTAAGTCTGACTAGGAAATCATCATTGATGTACACGAAATGTTGAGTCATTTGGACTTTGGAGAAATTGAAGCAATTATTTATAATCTGAGATTATTATCAGGTTGTTAAAATTAAAGTGAAAATTTCTGAATCTTCGCATTGTTATTGAGGCGATGAAATTAATCCAGCTGGATCATTTATAATCCGGATATAAATATTTGTTGTGCATTCTTTCAATTGAGTGGATCGATGAACTACGGGTCATTACATATTTGAACTTGCTTCCTTAAGATTTAAAGACTCCAAACGAAATTCGTGTCAACTTCAACTCTGTATTAAATTCATCACTAAAATCATGTATTCATGTCGAGAAAGTTCAAGACTGGACACAAGGTCTTTCATAAATGATGTCAAATAGATTTATTTCATGGATAGAGCTCTTGATAGACGTCATTTGGAAATGGACCTTTATCTTATCAGAAAAAACGATAAGAATTTTGGAATCCAATTTTAGACCACTAAATGTAATTTCTTTGAAGTGATATGGATTTCACCTGATATATGCGATCCTGTTCATCTATGTTATACCAAGTGAATTGCTAAAAATTCGGTTCTTAAAGATCGTTTGACGTCCTAAATGAACAGTCATTTTTTCAAAAAAGTACAATTTATTTCCAGGAATTTCTATTGTTCTTGCTGACCCTCCCCCTCCCTGGACGTCATAAGTAAACGGCTCCTTATTAAACATTTAATTTGTTTGGTTTGTTTGGTGGACATAAGTTACAAATGACTCCATTAAGTTGCTGATATTTTTAGGTCACAATCATCAGTTCTTTATAAATCGATCCTCAGCTTCATTGATCTTCAGATAATGCGAAATAAAAGATTGAATTTGATTCATTGATTACAGGTCATGGAAATTTAAACAGACATATTGATAGGTAGGCTGGTAAGTGCGAAGAAAAAATATTTGACAGGCAATAAGCTATCAATAAATCGTATATCAATTTCTTCAAAATCTTTTCATACGTTGCGTTTAAGCAAACAAACTTTAAGTGACTATCCGCATGGTCACATTTTGGTATATAAAAAGTATGTAGGAGAAAGTTCCATAAAAAGTCATGTTTAATCAAAAGTACCTTTTTTAATTTACATTCTCATGGCTCTTCTCTTGTGTCCACGTAAAATTCGATGCCACAATGCTCGATAATTTATTGCCAAATATTTCATTTGAATGCATAAAAGACATCCAAAAAGTAGCATCAATTAACAGCAATTTCATAAGATTTTCATCTCAAATTCTTTGTCTTTGCTGTGATTTTAAGCTTTAATAACATTGAGATCGAATTTTGTGAGAGAATGTTTAATTACTCTTCCGTCGCTGAATAAGAAAATGTAGCAATAAAATTAATGGATTGCCTGTAAAAATGTTTAAAGATTTTATTGTTTTTTGTTCACAATAAGCACTCCCTAAATTCCCTCGTACGCAGATTGAAAAATGTTGAGGACATACGCAACGGAATGAAAAATTGAGGCAATATTTTATGATTTTTCTCATCTGATTTCTCTTGAACTTGTGCTGTGTGCAATTAAGGTATTTTGTGATATGTTGCAATAAGAAATAAGTGTCATTTAATTTGTGGCCAAAAATGGCAATGAATTCGATTCATTTAAATTAAAATTGATCAGTAGTTGAAGGGTTCCATCAATGAGATGATTTAAATAAAAAATTATGCTGAAAAGAGCAAAATGGTAAACCTGTACGAGATGGGGCACCCTTTTATTTTTGATTTTAAAAGTGTTTTCTTATTGCTTTTAATGTGTAAATTTATAAAAACAAAAGTTTTTCTGGCGGTAACGCATTTGGAACAAAAAAAAAATTTTTCCATTTAATTTGCATAAGGTTTGCAGTTGACCAAAAAATTTTATTTTTTGCAGGTGGTTTGCAGTTGATCAAAAAAATTTATTTTTGCAGGTGATTTGCAGTTGATCAAAAAAATTTATTTTTACAGGTGGTTTGCAGTTAATTTGCAGGAGGTTTGCAGTTGATCAAAAAAATTAATTTTTGCAAATGGGTTGCAGGAGGTTTGCAGTTGATCAAAATAATTTATTTTTGCAGGTGGTTTGCAGTTGATCAAAAAATTTATTTTTGCAGGTGGTTTGCAGTTGATCTAAAAATTTTATTTTTGCAGGTGAATTGCAGTTGATAAAAAAATTTATTTTTGCAGGTGGTTTGCAGTTATTTTGCAGGAGGTTTGCAGTTGATCAAAAATTTTATTTTTGCAGGTGATTTGCAGTTGATAAAAAAAAATTTATTTTTGCAGGTGATTTGCAGTTAATAAAAAAAATTATTTTTGCAGGTGGTTTGCAGTTAATTTGCAGGAGGTTTGCAGTTGATCAAAAAAATTTATTTTTGCAAATGGGTTGCAGTTGATTTGCAGCTGAGAAGTTTTATTTTTGCAGGTGGTTTGCAGTTTATTTGCAGGAGGTTTGCAGTTGATCAAAAAAATTATTTTTGCAGGTGGTTTGCAGTTGATCAAAAAAATTTATTTTTGCAGTTGATTTGCAGTTGATAAAAAAAATTATTTTTGCAGGTGGTTTGCAGTTAATTTGCAGGAGGTTTGCAGTTGATCAAAAAAATTTATTTTTGATAATTGGTTGCAGTTGATTTGCAGTTGAGAAGATTTATTTTTGCAGGTGGTTTGCAGGAGGTTTGCAGTTGATCAAAAAATTTTATTTTTTGCAGGTGGTTTGCAGTTGATCAAAAAAATTTATTTTTGCAAATGGGTTGAAGTTGATTTGCATTTGAGAAGTTTTATTTTAGCAGGTGGTTTGCAGGAGTTTGCAGTTGATCAAAAAATATTATTTTTGCAGGTGGTTTGCAGTTGATCAAAAAAATTTATTTTTGCAGGTGGTTTGCAGGAGGTTTGCAGTTGATCAAAAAATATTATTTTTGCAGGTGGTTTGCAGTTGATCAAAAAAATTTATTTTTGCAGGTGGTTTGCAGGAGGTTTGCATTTGATCAAAAAAATTTATTTTTTGCAGGTGGTTTGCAGTTGATCAAAAAATTTTATTTTTGCAGGTGATTTGCAGTTGAAAAAAAAATTATTTTTGCAGGTGGTTTGCAGTTGATCAAAAAAATTTATTTTTACAGGTGGTTTGCAGTTAATTTGCAGGAGGTTTGCAGTTGATCAAAAAAATTAATTTTTGCAAATGGGTTGCAGGAGGTTTGCAGTTGATCAAAATAATTTATTTTTGCAGGTGGTTTGCAGTTGATCAAAAAATTTATTTTTGCAGGTGGTTTGCAGTTGATCTAAAAATTTTATTTTTGCAGGTGAATTGCAGTTGATAAAAAAATTTATTTTTGCAGGTGGTTTGCAGTTATTTTGCAGGAGGTTTGCAGTTGATCAAAAATTTTATTTTTGCAGGTGATTTGCAGTTGATAAAAAAAATTTATTTTTGCAGGTGATTTGCAGTTAATAAAAAAAATTATTTTTGCAGGTGGTTTGCAGTTAATTTGCAGGAGGTTTGCAGTTGATCAAAAAAATTTATTTTTGCAAATG